TTCCGCGCGACGATATTCAACGCTACAAGTATTCGTTGGTTCGCGATTCACGTGGCGGCCGAGACGACGATGGCGCTCTTCGACGTCTCTGCAGCGACCGCGACACCCACACAATCAATCGCCCTAGACCGGATTGTTCCACACCCACGAGAGCCGTTTCCTCAGCTGACCGGTCGTCTCCGACGTTTTCCTCGCGTTATCGGCTGGTCGTGATCACCCGCTCCCCCAAAAATGGATTCTCCTTCTCCGTTGGTCAGGTTAAAGCGACCACTCACGATATTATCGCGGCTGACTTTGTGGGTTCGCCGATGGTCGCGCTCGCTCGCTCGCACTGATCACACGCGCGTACACGGTGGGCCAAGTTGGTCGAATCGGTCGAACGGCGAAGCGAACTTCCGTGTTACAGCGTTTCCTTTCTCGCTACGCTCGACGCTAGAACAACACACGAATGGGCTTATTCCACACCCCTAGCGCGCTTATGTCCGCCAACGCTCCGCGATTGGTACTACTCTCACTGACGGCTCGGTCTCTCCTTCTTGCTCCTTCCTCTTGGCGCTCTCTCCCTCTCTTTTCCACCCTTTCAACCCTCCCCTCTATCACCGATCGCCTACATCTTTCTCCCTCCACCTGCTCCGTCTCCCTTACCCTCTCCCTCGACCGTCTACCTTCCACTATCTCCCTGCCACCGCCTGCTGCACCTCTCCGCAACGGGCTGAAACGGGAATACCGGTCTCCGCGAAGGGGGCTAATTTCCGGCCGCGAATCGACTTCCTGTTACGATTCTGCCGTCGAAATCGCGCTACCCTCCGACGAACCGACCCTGCGTCCCTCTTCCAGCTATCGTCCATGTAAAAAAGAACGCAGACGACCCGTCCGACTGACTTGCCACCGCGGAGGACACCCTGTTCTGCGAGTGCCCGCGGACGACCGCAGTTGCGCGTATCGTCAGTCCCCTTCCCCGACTGTGTTTGTCCATTCGAGACCACCACCCGGTGCTGCACGAATTTTCTTGCCGTGCATGTGCAGCTGCCGAGACGGAAACCGGAGTCCAACTTTCGGATCTTTACCTTCGGCTGGTTACCCGAAGGGAACCTATATGGGATGCATGATCGAGTCTCGATGCTTTTCGGTGGTTGATACGATGCTGGCCTGTGGGACGATTCGATGAACGAGATCCATGAAAAGCGTCCATTCATGCGGTCTTAATAAATAATGGGATGCGGCGTACGTCCGAACCAATAAGGACCACAGGCCGCACTTACGTCATGGAAAACCGGGTATTGATCGCACCCTAGGCCAATGGGGTTCACCGCCGCAACGGTGCCACTTTCAACGTTCTGGCGGTGAATTCGAACGCCATCGAAACAGCGTCACGACCACCATCGACGCCCGGGAAACTATGAATCGCTCCTGAATGAAGTTTGCCGAAGAGACGGTGTGGCTCGCAGGTCGAATTTGTAGGAAAACATGAAATCCGCCGGACTTGTTACGAATTTTTTACAACGCTTGCTGATTCTTTTCATTTTTCATACGATCTTCCTGTTTCGAATGTTTCTTCCTCAAACTTTATGTATTTTAATTGCTGTGACAGGATGATCAAACTTTTCTAATTACGATCGATTGTAGAGGAAGAACCGACTGATAAAACAAAGAAGAAAATAACTTGAGAATTTAAAAATTTACAAATTTAGAAAATTTTTCCAATAATTTTGAAGAGGAGTGTACGCAAGGATAGATTGTATTTTTGATATTTATTACAATATCGCAGAGTCAGTCCTTCAGTAGAATCAGACGTTCGTCTGACAGCGTGGTCCGATACGCAACGCACTGATACTACTGACACGGCTGATCACTGAAACATCTACTTCATCGAATTGTTATCGATGATCTACGCTATAAATGTAGTAAAATTCTAAAGATGCAACAAAAAGTTTGAGTACTCTTACAAAGGTAACCATCCCAGCAATCGATCTATTGAATGAACGAAATTTAAGACTGCTATGCAAACAGGAAGGAGAATGATAAAAGGTGATATTCTCCATTTCAACCCTCGAACAGTGGACTTTAGGTCAATCGTGACCCAGATTTTCGAAAGTTACAATGGTATTTGTAATAAAGTTAGTCGCAAAATTAGGTAAATTAGTTCCTAACAATGTTTGTTTCTATAAAACTTTAAATGCCATTCTCGTATGGGTGACGTAATAGCGTATTAAAGTGGTGGAAAAATTAGGGAATGAAAGAATACGATATAAATATAAATTTGTATTATTATTGTCTCGGGAGTCTAAAGGTTAGCTTTCGCGACGAATCACTGATGAAGTGTCGATCGATCAAGACAGATATTAAAATGACCTGCCAGCCACCATAGCCCCTAACTGGTAGAATTTGCCAACCTGTTTCGTGTACTTGTTTTTATGGTGCATACGAACACGCATGATTAATGACACCTGGATCAAAGCCAGAGATACTCGACTCCTTTAATGATATTATGTAGGAAATAATACTTACAATGAAACTTTTAATTGACAGAACTCGATTAATAATTACAATTCTCGGTACAATCATAAATAATATATATTTATTTTCTTGCAGACATACCTGAATTCAACTCAGGTAGGACACGATATAAAACTTAATTTACAAAATGGTTTTTACATTTAGCGATACTCATTCGAGTTGCACTTATACCATTTAAATAATTGCACGCATTTGCATTAAATAACACAAGTTCGAACGATGTGCGATACGTGTATTTACAAACAGTTAAGAGTATTATGTGTTTGAAAACTATTACCTGAAGCAGCGAAAGTAGGCTAAATTAAAGCGTACATAATCATTGGAAATTTGGCACATTATAATGGCATGATACAATGATGGACAAATTAAGTGTTTGTCATGGGGATTTTAAATTTTGAAATTTTGGAGATACGAAATATAAAAATATACTTTCAGATTGAAAAATTAGCCGGAAGATTTCTTGCAAGCGTAAATGTCCATCACTGTTATAACACGTGATAATTAAAATACAGTTAAGGTACCATAAAAATAAAAAGATTCAGATAAATCGTTACACACGTTGTGGTATGCAATTTTCATTGACTTTCCAATATTAAATGAACGTTGTTTTAAATTTTGATTTACATACGCTGTACCCGCTCACCAGCTATGTCCTAACACGTATTAAAATTTAATTAGCTTTGCTTAATTAGTGTATTTACATTATTCTGATAAACAATATATTTACAATCGAGATTATCGTGCAAATCATGTGCAACAATAATCGTTGAAAGCCATGTTGGTCAAATTATAAATAAATTGAAATCGATACATTGTCATCCACTTTTTGGATTCTTAATATGTACATATGGTGTACCGTATACATCATCGATATTTTATATTTTTGCTATTTTCTTATTGTACATAAATTATACACGTTCGTAACAATCATTATGTACATAAATTTATTATGCTTCCACTATAAATTGGTAAAATCGATATGATATAAGTTATGCGTACATTGACATAAAAAGACATTGCATTGTGTCCTATATTCATTATGATATAATATGTATACAGTCATCGATTTATCTTTTTTTTTTGTTATTAAATTTCTTCAAATGTGCATATCATACAAGCAACATGTACATCAATAGAAAAAGAAAGTACAATAAAAAAAGAGAGGACAATAAAAATTCTATAACGTTTATTTCACGTGATGATATACTTTATAGGAAACGTTTATCGATTCAGTCAAAATCTTATCAAAACCGTGTAAATTCTATCAAGTGATGTTTACTGGGTGTATGTATACCTACTATCTTTTTCGTTTCATATAAATTTAAAACATTTCTGCTTATCGTGTGGGATCCTTGTTTTGAACAATATCGAATCAGCTCGATACTGTGTATTTAAGAGAGGCATATATCCAAAAACCTGCAATCAATAAATATATCGTGCATTAAGTACACGTGGATTTAGAAATACTTTTAACAATACATTTATCATGTGTAGTAAGACGATAGAATGTATTATTGCAGACAAGGGATATAAGAATCTAATTTTAGATTTCCACAACTAAATGTTTAAAAAGAACTCACCTGAACAAAGAAATTAATACATTTGTGCCTTTCTTGGAAATGAGTATCATCTTCTGAAAGGGAAATTGGACAACCAGGACATCTGAATGTCCATCGTGATGTCACCTAAACAATATAAACACAGATACTGAAGTGGTAAACTTTTGTAATAAACCACAATACAGAAACAATGTTTGATACCTTAACAGGTGGTTTTCTTGTTAAATGAGATATCAAGAAATTCATAGCAATATCTTCACAATTCATATATTCATCAACCTTGTCCCGTATAGCTTGCGGCAACCAATGTGTATAAAGATATGTGTAATGTTTATGGATGAACGCAGCGCCAGTCAAAACCATCGACAACTCGCAGGAATAATTAGAATTATAATTCCAAGCATTGTGATAATTCTGGTCCCATGCGTGAAAACGACCCGGAAATCCAACTACACGATCTCGATGTTCTCTCCATACTCTGCAGACATTATCGATAAATATACTCATCTTCATAAGTTGACATTCTTAAGAAACTATAAAAATACCTAAATCCAAACATAATTTCGTCATGTCTCAAATGAGCATCATCATCAACTGAAAGAACAGCTTCCGTTTCGATAGCATCAAATGGAAGAAACCTATTGTTTAAACTATTCCTTGGTGCTTTGATTACCTGAACAAAAATAATCCATTGTTAATAATTTGAAAAACGATATACGTTTTATTTAAAAAGAATCAAGTTACATGAATTGGAACTCCAATATCTGGCCACTTCAAGTCTTCCATCGGCGGCTTTGGGCTGTTCCACACTACCAGAACTTTGTTCAAATATGGCAGTCCGTAAAATCGAGCTAAAGAGTTTATAAGAACCTGTTCCCGTTCGTATGTCAACATTACGATTGTGAACTGTTCTCTAGGATAGTTGCCTCCTAAAGCTTCGCTAAACTCTTTGCCCGCGCCTCCAGCACCTTTTCCGATGGGTCTAAATCCGACCTCGGATCCTGAAATTTATAACTCTTCGATAAAATGTTCATATTCAATATGAGATAGAAAACAAATTTAGTTTACCAAGAAATTTTGCGTCGCTAGGCAACACTGTGTCAAAAGGTAATTGCGGATACAGATAAAATGGGTCCACCCAATCGTTCCAAATTTCATGTCCCTGAAGCAACATTGTAGTATAGTTTCTTTTAAAAGCAGGAGACGGATAAGGAGGTTCCAGAGGCCCCAAACTTTCTTCAGCTTCTGGCTCGGCAATAATTGTATCAGATTTTAAAGGCTACAGAGAAATAGAATTATCATATGCAATCACAAACAAACGACATAATCGTGCTTTACAATATTTACCACAAAGCTTTCATTAAAGATACTTGGACTAGCAGTTTGAGGTGCTGGAAGAGGCGGTATACCAAGTCGATCTCTAATTACAGCGACAATAGTATCTACCGCACCCTGTGCAGTGCTTAAATAACGTTCCCATATTAATCTGCCCTGTCTTCGCATACTCAACAGATCAGTATCAGGAACGGCACGCAGTAAAAAGTGCATTTCAGTTACTCTGGCCTAAAATTTGAAACACATAACTAATCAGGAACATAATTTGCATTAAAAATAATTTACCTTTGGTAGAAAGATTGCTGCTCTGCGCCAACTAATAACTTCGCTGTAGCTTAATAGAATTTGATCACCGCCTAAGAAAACTGGAATAGATCCCGACCGTAAGGCTTCGTATAATCTCGCTTGCATAGACGAGGTAGTTACGAATGAAGCATTGCTAGGTGCCAAAATTAAAGCAAATGTTGATTCCTTTAATATAGCTTTTCTTGAAGAGTCAGTTCCACATAAAGACCAATCAAGAATTCCTACTATGTTCTTTTCCTCAGAAGCCGGGATACATTCAAACTGAATAAAAAATTTATCCATAGTTAATCCAGTACTCATATCTTTAAGGTGCTGAATAATAAAAGTATCCAAATTATTTTCATCGACTGCTATTCTTTCTAACTCTATATCTGTGTCATCAGTTTGATGCGTCATGGTCGTGACTCTCGGAGATATCATCTCTCCTTGAAAAGATAATAAATATTTTCTTCTCGCAGGTAACATTTGAGCACATTCTTGCCACACATCTCCACCAGGAGGTCCCAAAATTGGAGGAACAACCAGATCAAAACCTTCACGGAATTGATTTCTGTAAAATGTTGATTGTACTATTATGGCTCTTCCCGTATCTATTTCATTGAAAATATTTCCAGATTCTACAGATAGATCTCTACGTGCTAGATTTAGTAAAATATGATTTCTGCCATCTCCGCCCCAATAAGGAAGTGCATGTAATTTCTTTACATCTATAGCTTTTCTGTATGTTCTATCACTTTTTTGTTGAGTGGAAAGAACTTCTCCTATTAGTACTATGTATATACAAGCTTCAGCAGCATTAGTAGTTAAATGGGGATTGTATCCTGTTAAATTACAAATACATATTAATTTGAAAAATGCATGTATATAAATACAAGCATACCTAGAGTTTGTTTAATAGTAGTTTTCAAAAATCCATCCACATCCCAACCAGGATTTACTACCGAATACTGATCAGGGTCATATAAATATACTGGAAAACCACTTGTTAATGCACAACGGCTGTGATCAAAACAATTGTACATTCTACACGAATGTGGTACAGTAGTTGGTAATACTACAGGAACAGAATTTATTAGTATGCGCTTGGGTGGTGCCAATTCTGGTGTATTTCTTTCTACTGCTTCTCTTTGAGCTACTTGCGCTTGCTCAACACTAATTTTTAATCTATCAAGATCTGTTTGTTGATGTAACAGCTCCTGCTTTAGTTCATCAATCTTTTGAGTTAGGCTGCTAACTTCAATTTGAAGTCTTTGTCTTTTTGCGCTTAAATCTCTAAGCTCATTATTTACAGAAACTTTAATACGTAACATTTCCTCTATTCTCATTTTCAGCTGAGAAGCTTTCATGGGAGTAAAATCTTCAAAAGCTTCCAATGTAGAAAATGTACGGTAAATATCTTTATCTGGAGACTCAGACTCCACCTGTAAATAATAATGTATTGCTTATGTTGAACAGTTATACTCTATATACCTACATAATTATTTTAAGAAGTTACCTTTGATAAATAATAATGTGTAAATAATGGCACAATGAATAAAAGGACAGATGTTAACATTATAATCCTAGATAACTTGATATGCGTTATCCAGTGACAAATTTCTCTTGTACTTCCATTTTGATGATACACTGGAAGTATCTCATATATGCTTCCCCCCATTGTAATTATTATAGATTATCATTCATGTTTAAATTTTAAACCAACAATCCCATTTTGTGGTTGTATAACAAATGCCTGTAAAGTATAATTAAAAACTTTAGTCTAAACAAAACATTAACATTCCTTAACATTAAAAATGGTATATTTCTAATTTTGACGTTCGCATTTCTTACCCAAAACATAATCGCTGAGCTTTTATTATCATTATTGATCAATAACCTAACAGTGACATATCCTGCTTCCAAATTTTTGACAATCACGGTTAATGATCATTAGATATAAATCACAACTGTCATAACAAAAGGTTTAATAAATATATGCTATTTTAGATACATTCTTTATAAACTATCCGGTTACATAAAGTACGTAACAACAGCTAATAAAATCACACCAACGCCATTCCCATTTAAAGGTTCACGTTAAAGAAACAAACGTGAAATAACGCTAATGTCAACATTGCGGTTCTCCTATTAATACTTCTCCATTTGTTCTTTAATACAGGCCCCCGTTACTTCATGCATATCATTCATTTGTGTGGGCAAGTATTTATTATTTCGTTCAACAAGAGATCATTTCTAATTCGCGCAGCGCGACTAACTTCAGAAAGTTAAGTTTCCACCGAGGGTTCAAATCGGGTTAGAGTCGGGTTGAGGTGAGCGCTCTTATATTAGAAAACAAATCAAACTTCTAATTTAAAAATTTGAAAATTTTAATAATTTAAAAAATGACTATGAAGAGTATCAGAACCAATTAGAGTAGATATATACAGAATGAATAAAAGTAGTAAGTGCATTCGATTTATGTTTTATACAACAGGAGATGGCGCTTGAAGCTACATAAATCTGATTTACCCAACGAACTATACCTAAATGTTGGTAGTATTGATTTGAAATATTAGTCATTTTGAAAATTTCAAATTTAAAAGATTATTTCAAGAACCTTGAAAGTATTCATAATTTTTGTATGTAAATACAATTTTAATAGATTTATTGATTTAAAAATAAATTTACTGTTCAAGCATAAGCACATGATGTTTATGCATATATTAAATTACCAAATCTTATAAGTTTTATTAAAAATTTGTTGTGTCATTAAACCGTTTCTATGAAAAATTGGTTATATTGCATTACATATATATACATATAAGTGATAAAACATGTGATTGTTGAAATAGTTTCAATGTTTGTGATTATTGGCGGGATTTAATGAGGTTAGTGAAAAAGAAATAAAATTTTCATCACACAAATAGTCTTTGTTTAAAAGACTTGAAAATATTTCACCAACATGACGCATAATATTTTAAAATCTTCCGGACATGGATTTTGTAATGCAATTTTTTCAAGTTCACCCATTAATTTTAATAAAGAAAATACTGATTTTCTTAATAAAAGGTTAGTATTTAATGCAGTCTTAAATTAATGTTGAATAATATTTATTTTATTCATATATTATCTTTTTAGAGAAGAAAAATGTCCCGAATTCGTCGTTGCATCTCACAAGGAGATTCAAAATGAAAATGAAAATAAATATTTGAGGCATGAAAAACAAATTTTATTTGATGATGATGTGGCTGGAAATTCAAAATTGACAAATACACCTTCTACTGTAAATATGAATCGCTCAAAGTCTATGAATGTGCTTCGAAGAAAACAAGTTCTATTCTCTGAAGAAGCAGTATCTGATGTGAAATGTAAAACTTCAACAAAAGTAGCATCTAATTCTTCATTAAATGATAAAACTCCTAACATGCATTTTTGCACTCCCAAACAATATAAGACACGTACTGCTACAAGCAATACAAAAATAAACATTTTGCCTCCAAACAGAACACCCGTAAAACGTTATTTTAATGATAATATTTCAACTGAAGCTACTCCTGACTGCTTTAGTGTAGTGCAAGTGGAAATACCATATAGTAAATCAAACGAATTTGGTGTAGAAGATCAAACAGTGTATGAAGAAGAAAACAGTAACTTAACTGTTGGCATACGCGTTAGACCTTTAAATGCAAAGTAAGTTTTTATATATTTTATTATTGAAGTTGTATAATGTTACAATGTTTTCCTTATTTCTTGTTATTTTAGAGAATTAAATGACTCAAAGGTTACATCGGTTGTACAAGTGAATGATCAAAATGTTATTGTCACTTGTGAATCTATTCAACATAGTTTCATGTATGATCATTGTTTTGTATCATATGCAGACTCAACTAAATCTGGTCATGCCAGTCAAGAAATTATATTTAGAACTATGGTTCTACCTTTGGTACAAAATGCATTTGAAGGATATAATGTTTGCTTATTTGCTTATGGACAAACAGGGTCTGGTAAAAGTTATAGCATGATGGGTCAAGAATCTTTACAAATAAGTGCAACCCCAATAGATGACGAGATTGGTATTATTCCAAGATTTTGTCAAGAAATATTTGCAAGAATATCTACTAATGTAAATACTAAAATTACGGTAGAAATTAGTTATTTTGAGATTTATAATGAGAAGATACATGATCTTCTAACTAACATTAATAATGGAGTAAAAAGGGCTCCTCTCAAAGTGAGAGAACACCCTGTCTTTGGTCCATATATTGTTGATTTAAGTCAGCATTGTGTGCAAAATTACAAAGATTTACAGGTATGTTAATATTACTTGTAATTAATATAATATTGTTTAAATAATTTCTCATGTAAAATTATTCCTGCATTGCTATATTTTTTTTAGACTTGGCTTAAAGTGGGAAATTCACAGAGAGCTACAGCTGCAACTGGGATGAATGAAAAAAGTTCAAGATCTCATAGTATATTTAGTATTATATTGACACAGACACAAGTAAATAGTCAGTTGAATAATGAATCCATAGATGCTAGTCGCCGTAGTAAAATCAATTTAGTCGATTTGGCCGGCAGTGAAAGACTAAGTCAGACTTGTGCAAGTGGAGATAGATTAAAGGTTCGTTATACCATGCTTATTTTTTTTAATTATATTCTATAATAATTTCGTTTATGTGGTAAAATGAACTACTATACTTTGTAGGAGGGTGTATCCATTAATAAATCGCTACTTACGCTAGGAAAAGTAATTGCATCCCTTGCTGAAAATACAACCAATCGCAAACGGGGATTTGTGCCGTATCGTGAATCTGTTCTTACGTGGTTACTAAAGGTAGGTAATATTAAATTATTAATAAAAACTATTATTAAATCAGAGAATTTTATTGCCCATTATTTATTCACGAAGCATATTTTTTTAGTAGTCTTTAAATTTGTAATACATGTATACAAACATAAGCAAATATAAGTAGAAGTGTATTTCTCTTAAAAAATATTTCTTCCAACACAGTCTATCCACAATATGCATGTTTCAATAATCTAAATGTATATAGTAAATATACATTTAGTTATTTTAATTAATACATTTTGCAAACATTTTATGTACATATAAGGTATTTTGATGCAAGTGCCATTTAGAATAATGTCAAAATCATTAATTTCATGAAATAATGGTACAAAAAAATGAAATTATAAAAAGAAAGATATACCTTATTATTATTTCATGATATTATGTTACCTACTAAATGATATATACATTATGACATCTTATATATACATTACAAATAATGTAAGTATTTTTTAAATAAGTTACTACTTATATATGAAATGGTGATAATATACCAACATAGGTATAAATTAAAAATTTCACTCTTTATAAAAATGCCTATGCTAAATAAATAATTACAGTTCTAAAATTATGACGTGTAAAATATGTCTTACAAGTTTAGTAATATATTTTTACACGCGATTGTCTTATCGAAACACGTTACAATTGCAACGCGTTTCTTCAGTTTCTGTTTCACTTTTTATCGTCAACTTTTGAAAGTTCATTATCTTTTACAACGTGTTCCGACGAAACACAAGAATTGTTGTTGGTATTATTCTCTTCATTAACATTTGCGTCGAGTTCCTCTTCTTCTTCATGGATTTCATGACAAGAACTCTTTCGTGATTTTCCCCTAATGTAAGCAGCCAGTCTTCTTCTTTTATTTTCTCGGCACAAATAACAATTCTCTTTCGATAATAGCTTTTGTTCATGATGTTGTGGTAATCGCTGCGAATGCGCTTGTGTCGATTTATCTGTAAAATAATTTTATTCCTCTATCATTTTTTATTTTGTTTAGTAAAAAAGAAAAAAATACTTGGGACGATATCGCGTTTAATTATAGGTCCACGAATGGCAATATCAGACTTTATTTTTATATTCCTGCGTAATACTACGTTATTTAAAGTACGCAAATTAGATGATGGAAAATTGTAACGTGAAATGATCGTATCTAGAATAATGTCAGGTATAGCATATCGTACTAGATATGATCAGGTTTTATTATGGCGGTCAACGTGTTATTATTAGGTAAGGTTCAGAAGACTTCTCGAAAGCTACCATCGTGTGTCATTGCACGTACTACGTTTCATTGAACGAAGCCACGTGATGCCGCACACGTACGCGAGTATAGTCAAGATTCGAAAATATAGCGCAGTCGTAAATTCGAGCTTCCTTCAGGATACAAAATCTAATCTAAATTACAATTTATTACATTGTATGATGCATTTGCCGAAAATAAAATAACAGAGATAAAAAAATACTTTAAGATGTGGTCAGCTCTGGCTGCGTAGATTCTGTTCCACATTAATTTACGATCGTGCTATATCTTCGACCCAACTGTACCTATCTAATAACACGTCCCTGTTACATTTTATCATAATTAGATTGTATTATGAATCAAAGCACGGTACAAATAGGAACAGTAATTTAACAACGTATTTTTGCATTATTTGAATTGCATCGTGAAATACTTGACCCAGTTTCGAAATCTAATAAGCATACAGTCAATAATTTCTTTGTTTAAACTATCAGTGAAAAATTAATTTCACACTGAAATTCTTGCCTGCATTAATATCAATCGTCGTAATCATCTCTTTGGCATCTCAACAACAGAAAAATGAAGTATGCTAATTGGACAACTTGAAATTCCGGTTCTAAAAGCGAAAAATCTCGAAAGCAATTATCACAAGGCTGTTTATAAATACAGAATATTTAATAACATTGGAGATTTCGTAAATCTGTGTACATTATATTTCCAATATCGGTAAAAAGAGTATTATTCATCTACATATATGTATATACCAGATGCAATAAAATCAGCATCGAGATATAATTGTTACGATCATTTGCGTATTATATTACCGTCTCGATCTACCTTACTCGTAATCTTAGCGATCGTAAACATGTTTTTCAACATCCACGATGCAGTTTGTTTGGATGCTGCCATAGCTTGTTTGGAACGCGCTTTTTATAGATTAGCTTGTACTTATACTACGATTGATTCTGCAGTGAAAATTGAGATTATCCGAGTTAATTTTGTGGTCATCGTCAGTGACCCGTAAAAATAACCATATGTGGCCCTGATTAACTATAAATATTACGAGGGTCGATGAATATTAATTTTTAAATTTTTATCGCGTTCTATCTTTAAAAAATAATTTACAGCGATTCGACTTTTCTCTGAATTTCAGTGATGATAACGATAATTTTAGAACAGGATGCATGACAAATAATGCAGACTACTGCGCCTTTGGGCAACCAGTTCCCGCCGGAAACGCATAGGGAGGGGCAACTACGTTGCGTAAAAATACCTGAGTTATATTTATATAGGATCATCTATTTCAAAATATGGTCATTTTGTTCCGTTCATTAAACTTTAGCATTACTGTTCGCTTGGTTGAAGTACCAATTTCTTCGAATGATTAATGTCCAACGTCATCGAGTTTATTTGATCGATTGATTATTTTATGTCATTTATGTTGAACTTTGAATTGACATTTTGGAACGTAAAGATTAATATCTCGAGGGGCGATAAATGGTTCCATTGTGGACGCTGAATATTTATTCTTTTACGAAACAGGAAATGCAATACCGTACATTAATATTCATCGTTAATATCCCCTACCAGTGTTAATATCGTATAAGTTAAACGCAAGAGAGGAAACGTAATTCGCGAAATGATAATTCTATTAATTTTCTCGAGAAATATAAATATTGTAAGATCTACGTATCGTGTGTCTTTATTTGTGTGTAGACACTATCGTTCTTAAACATGTTTACAGAAAAGACAGTCCATTGTTAGATCACAAATGAATGATCCATAACGACAGATTGATTGTATATTTCAACAGAGCGAAAAAATCGAGTCTCGGTAAACAATTGCTCATTGTGAATGAAGATTTTATTATTGCACGGTAACAGCGACTGATAAACTTTTGCAAATAATCTGATTACTTTACGAGCGAAATTTCGATTTCTCTTCACATATTTTACGTAATAATTTTGAAGACTTTCAGAATTTCTTTTAGCTTTCTTTCGAATCTTAAAACTATCTGGATCGTCTACATATGGTCTGTGATAATAAATGGAAGTATAGGTTCAGCCAAGACGTACCATAACTGAAGTAATCTCTATTCCAGGGCTGCTCGTAGTCACGGTACTGAGGAGCCCTGAAAAACCCGTAGGTCAAGACCTCAGGAATGTAAACCAGATCCATCTTCGAAGCTTTCTCACGAAATGACTTTCTATCTGTACGTCGTGAAAATCTATCCACCTATGTTTCTCTCTTCAGTTAACTCGCATTCAAGATGCTTCTCGATCTTCCTTTGCGATTGATACAGGAAGCTTGCATTACTTCACGATATTCCTCCTCGTCTCGATTCTCTGTCGTTTGAAAAACAAACAAAGAAAGCGCCGCGAATGGCTCATTAATTACGTCGATCTTTGTTGAAAACTGAAACCGCCAATTTCACCAGGTGGATGGTTTTTCGTTGTTTCCGGTCTTCTTTCCGTCAACCGTGGTAACGACTCATTGACAAGACTATCGACGTTGTTACACAACGGGAAATAATAAACAATATGAGTGGCTGGTAGAAAACAAGATCGCGGTTCTGCTCGAAATGCTGCGATGTTTTGCTTTGAACTGAAGGAGTACGGACACCGCGCACGCAATGTTTATGAGTCGGTTTTTCCCCTCTCCGCCGGCTCTTTTCCCTCCGCTCCTCTCTTCTTTGCAACGCCCTTCGGTACCGCTTTGACCCCCCTCCTTTTCTTCCAATCACCTTCGTGAATTTCTTGCAAATTTTACAACTCCCATTTTCCACGCTTTACCCCTTTATGACATTGTCCTTCGATGTTTTTCCATTTCCATCCTTTTGCAATTTTAACGCGCAAATTCGTTTACCGTAATCTCGCTTATCGAATAGTATCATTTATCAAACGATGAAAACATTTCTGTTTTATCTCTTTAGAGCAGTACCTTTTTTCCCGATATGCACCATAACTTTTCAAAACTAAAACTATATATACTAATCTGTTTTTAGGTTCTCTTAAAATTCTTTTCTCGAGATCCTGTAGAAATTTGCGTCTCGAAAAGTTGAGATGTGCATTTTAACACGTTCGCTGCGGACGTGCAGAGATTCGCGTCGCCATGTGATCTTGGCAATGTGCGTATTTACACCGACGCATGATTCGCGCCAATTGTTATCTCAATTAATATGTATATCTCTTATTCTATTACCACGAAAGGAATTATAGTAAGGACAAATTCTTGGTTCTGACTAATAAGTTATATTACGATATCTGCGGATTCCCGTTTCTTACGATACACGGCGTAGCGATATATCGACAATAAAAATGGACGACCATTGCCGGTACAACGTGAAGGTGGCAATATAACGAGAGTCTATCTATACTTATTTTTAATATTAATAAAAAATAAATCAATAACATAAAAATTTATTTTAAAATGCGCAAATATTTCAAATTATACGTGTACTACAAATTATTCGAAACTATATGAACGACGAAATTGTTTTTATAATTGGTTAGATACTAGACTACTCGATAACGCATGTTGTAATTTATTTCTATTGTTTTACCACTCGTTTTACAAAAAAATGTATGTATCTTTCAAGGTTGTTATTTATAATTGTCGATACTTAACGATAGTACTCGAATGAAATAATTTTTCTGTTTGTCCGATATCTCGTGTTACGTCGTCAACTATCTTGAAGATATTTGTAATACGAAAATTTTCTATCAATATCACTTCACGATACGGGCCTATCGCAATGGATGCAGATCGAATGATAATCACATCCTGTCACTGAAAATTCGATAAAGCCGAAAATATGGATAACGTATTTGCTTACACGATCTTTGCAGACAAGCTCCGAAAATTTCTCGCAGCAAGTTAGTCCATTATTATCTACACTGCATTTTCTTTAATCCGAATTTGTTATGTAATCAAGCGAAAAGAACGTAAATACGTTTATTCTTCGTAAATTTATTGCATAGAAGCTGTTTGTGACGTGTAATCTTTTTTTTCGTTTTTTTAGAGATAACACGTGTTAAACTGAGAAATGGTGCTCGAAATACATGCATAGAATTTTGTATTAGATACGTTATCTTTTAAGTCTTTAATCACCGGAATAGACTAATACTTTAATTCCGATTGAAATCATCGTTAAAGTACAGTTTAGATATCGAAGCTGGTATCACATTCTCTAAGGAAAGAGTACTTTACGAGACTTAATACTTCTTGAGCTGAATAAAGTGGACTGCTCAACAGTGTCGCGTTTAGAAATTCAACGATTTTTGCATGGTGCTAACAAACGAGTTCAAGGATGAATGCAAAGCAATTAATAATAAAAAACGAAGGAATGTTTTTTCCGTTGTTGAACGTAAACTTAATGATACCAATTGACACACCTTTATGTATACATACCAACGAGAAATTCCAGATTTTATCTAACGCCTTATCATTTTATTTATTATAGTAGGATAACGTTGGGAAATACACGTCAAGGTGTGATCGATAAGAACGAGTATTATTCGCGAAGGATTAGTCCACACTTATTCTTTTTTTCCTCTAAGACTATGCTTTATCACACGACGTACTGATAATGGTTCTTTATGCGTAAGAAGAGCGGAGATTTAGCTGGATAAAACTCATAAAACTTAATAATATTATCAGAGTGATAAGACTAAGTTTGTTGATTGCTCGACTTTGTAGACCCACTGGCTACACGTTAAATCTGGCTATATTTCATTGAATTAAACTGAAATTATTTATTTTATAAACAAAAAATAAAGTTATTTGTTTTATCCGTTACAAATAATTTGTATATGCTATCCGATAATGTAACTAATTCATTATTTCTTGAATTGCTTAGGAAAGCCTTGGAGGAAATTCGAAAACTGCGATGCTTGGGACCGTGTCGCCAACTAATTTACACGTCGAAGAAACACTTGCAACTCTTCGTTATGCTTGTCAAGCTCGAGCCATCGTCAATCGAGTCCGAATTAATGAGGACCCTCATGAAAGATTAATTCGGTAATGCGCATAATTCTGTATCGTTTGAATTAGTAACATTAAAATTGCGTTCGATAATATTGAAGTAAGTAGAATTGTAAAGCTTGAAAAAGCGGAACAAAAGTACGTCGTTGGTCGATGCATTTATTTTTGGTAGCTCTGGGTTTATTAACCTAATTGTAATTTTTTTTCGTTAGCGAACTGAAAGCGGAGGTGCTGAGACTGCGCGGCGTTCGCGAGGGATACGAAAAACAGCTGGGTGTCTTTCCCCGACGCCTCTTCGAATCGACTGGTCAAAATGACGACGAAATCAAACAGAAACAAGACGAGATTGATAAGTTGAAGAATCAATTGAAGAAAACCGAGGAACAACTCGCTACTTCTCAGATGTACGTTAATTTTAACGCGACAACGCTAATTATTGTGACAATAGGTTTCTTTAATGAAAAAAATACTATTTAAAACGTTCAGTTATTTCGTCTTTTCAATGACGAAATACTGTAGCTAGGATAAAAAGCATTACTGGGAAAATGCATCGAAGGATATGACTTCTTTGCTGGTCACGATAAAAAACTTAATATGCAGCTACGTATAATTGCAGGGTATGGCAAACGAAATTGCGAGACGCCGAGGAAAAGAAAATTTCTGAATTAAAATATTTGCGTCAGTGTGGTATTGCTATAGAGATTGATTTTCACGAAAAGGATAAGCAGCCTTGTCTGATAAATCTCGCGGCCGATCCTATGTTATCCGGTACGCTTTTGTATCTGATTCCTCCAGGATTGGTTCGTATCGGGAAGAATCAAAGTTCTTCCAAACATTTGGACATCATGTTGGATGGACCATTGGTTAGGCCTTTACACTGGTTAGTTCATGGGTCGTTTGCGATTCAGTGATTTGTAAAAATCCACCTATCGAGCTTGTTTGCGTTATTTGTTTGTCCTCATCTTCCTCATTGTCTTGTGCACGATGCACAGTTTAACTGCTGTTTGTGATTCATGGTATAAGAGAAAAATATCTTTGACTTTTGTTTTCTTTGATCGTTTATCTCTCACTAACGCATGCTTATCTTCGTTTGTAACATGGTACTAACAGATATTTTGTATAAAACTGCATGATGGATTTTTGAGCAGTGTAAGTATTATTGCACGGTGTAAATATTTTCACACAAATTTATATTCTGAAAGCGAAACGTATGAGTGTTATATCGGGAGGCATGTTCCTATATTCCTACATGTCTGAATCCACATATCAAAAATTTGACGAATGTGTTTCTTATGCGAGTGATTAACATTATTCTTGGAATATGATACATATTTGATACAGTACGATATGATATGATTGATATTTTATTTATTTGACAGTACCATTGAAAATAGTGATGGAAAACTTACATTATCGGCGGAAGCGCACGGAGATACCTACGTCAATGGACAGGTAATACTTCAAAAAATGTTATTAACATTTTATGTTAATTATTGAAAATGAATTATTCATTCTGTCGTAGATGGTGACTGGTAAAGTTATCCTAAAGCATGGTGATCGATTAGTAATCGGCGGAAATCATTATTTCAAAGTCTCAAACCCGTACGATGAATGTAGCAATATTCAAATTTCTACGCAAGCAGTCGATTACGAATTTGCTCATGAAGAAATTCTTAAAATACAAGAGGAGAAGTATGAGCCATTCGATGCTGTTTATTCAACGATAATAACTAGTGTGTACAATGGATATTTAACGTTGTTTTATTATTTTATTTTTGATATAGATTAAGAGCAGAATTAGACGAAAGCAAACGAAAGGCAATAAAAGAACTGGAAAATGCGAAACGAGAAGCTGAGATGCAATTGGGATCTCAGAAATTACTGTATGAACGTAAAATTGAGATCCTCGGTTCTACGGTTGAAGAACAAAAGATTGCACTGGAACAAATTTATCAAAAGAAAAAAGAATTGGAATTGGAGAAAGAATTGCTCGCGAACGAAGTTAAAACAAATAATAGATTAAAACAAATGCAATTGGAGCAAAAAAAAGTTACCATTGCACCGTACAAGACAACATTTTTGCAAGAATTAGAAAACATTTTAAATGAAAAGGCAGCAGATGCTGAGTATGCTCTGAAAATGAAAGCGAGTGCAGAAGCTATAACCGATGGTGGTATTAGCTTACATGAAATACAGTTATTGGTAAAAGAAGCTACTGAACGGTGTAGAGAAGTTGGTCTTAATTACGTACGTATCTACTACGCCAATTTTATTTTCAAGTGGATAATTTCTATTTATATATGTAATCAATTATTACGCTTTTAGGAATTTGACCAGCAACAAATAATTGAAAATAAGAGTTTAAAATCGGTAATTCGTATAAGAAATAGAGACTGCATGAAAGAAACGTTTTGGGAACCAATGCGATTTCTAGAGTGGGTACATCGTTTACGAGATTATGATATCGAAGATTCAATAAAGGAATTATATACATCGGAAGAAGTTTGGGAACAGTACGAAAATACAGAAACTTTCGAAGATTCCTTAAATAACAGTCGAATTTCAATAAACATGACACCGGTGAAGAAACATCTAAATGAGAGTTTGCAACAATTTTCATTGGAAACCTCTGTACTTGAAAATACATGCAACGATCAAAACGTCGATTCCTCTAAAGAACAAGAAATTATAAATTCTTGTCTTATACAAATAGAACTGGCTACAAAAACTTTGCGTAAATTGTGCGATAGAAATAATGGGGTTCAGTTAATCACGGAATCGCTTAATAATATGCAAAGTATTATCAGTAATTTGCGCGAAGCACTAGAAGTGAAAAACTTTGGCGAAGATACAATTGAAACTATAAATTCTACTCAGAATTGTAGTGTAATTGAAAAATGTGAAAATGTACTTCCTGAAGCTAGCAATGCAGAATCTGTTACACCAACGAAATCTACTTTATGTAATAATATCAAAACTGACAAAATTGCTCAAAAAAGCGTTAGATTTACAGATAAATTAAACAAGGAGCTAACTTAGTAAAAGAAAATTTATTTACAGACGATTAAATAAATAATGTAAAGTTATTTAGAGGAATTTTAAATATATGTGAACCAAACAAATGTTAAATGAAACAAAGAAATATGTTTAACTATATCAATATTTAATAGTTACGGCTTTATTTTTTACTATTCATAATATGTTATGTATTGTTTATATATCTAGATCTGACTTGTAGAATGTTTCTATTTCTTATATGAACTTAAGTTTTTATAAAATGTGTAAAATTATGTTATTAATTTTTCAAAATAATTTTTTTTTTTAACATGGGACTTGTAGTACTAGTTACATGGTACATAACTCGGTACTTGTTTCTTATGAATGCAAATATTTCATGTATATTTTGTACAATACATGTCATGGACTGATAATAAATAGAAATTGCAATTAAAATTTCAAATGTATATGAATATTTTGTACTGTTTATAATAAACAATGCTACATGAAATAAACACAAAAATTACTGTATATGATTAATCAAAATAATCTTCAATGTCAATATCAGGATTTAATAAATCTTCGCCATAGTCACTCAAATCCAATTGATTAAGTATTAAATTCTCACACATTTCTTCTAAATCAGTATCCCCAATTAACACTGCTCCTTGCATTTTGCCATTCTCCAGAATGAGTTTTATGTATTCTTGTCCTTTAGTCATACGTAACAGTATTTCATATTTATTATCCAATTTTTGTCCATTAAATAAACCAAGTAAAACTACCTTGTAACCAAAAAATTTAGTAACATGAGTAAAAAGTTCAAAACAAAAATCTTGCAAAAACTCTTCATTTCTTAATTTTGAAACCATTGATTTAGCGGCATATCGTCCCATTTGGTGAGCTTGAGTCCACAATCTCATTTGAAACCAATGTTTCGCTATTTCCCATCCTGCACTGCATACATCTCCTGCAGCATATACATCTTGCTTTGAAGTCTCTAGTTTCCAATCTACCAACAGACCTCCATCTTCTCCTTTTGTAATATCTTCTAAACCTGTTATATTGGTATTTGGTATTACACCTGTTGCTGACACAATAAAGTCGCAACCAATAATCTTTCCATTTGTTAGTTCAACATACACAGGCCATTCTTGCATAGGATCAAATTCTTTTTTTTCTGATTCATTAAGAATCTTAATCATTTCACACTCATATTCTATCTGTACTTTTGAAGCTTTCAAATAAGTACCTTTTATATCAAAATTATTGTGCCAATCTGGACCCAAAGCTGGACCAGCTTTTACAGCTGTAGGATCAGATATTGTGTATCTCATCCTCTTTGTCACAGTATTTGTATTAACATTTGTAGATGTATTGGTTCTGTATACCTTATCTACAAAAAATTCTGCAGCTCCAGGATCAATAAATGTTGCAGAAATATGTTTATCTTTAATTACCCATACCATCTCAATGCCATCCACTTCATGTATAATTTCGGTAGCAATACCTCCGTTTCCAATTATTACAATTTTTCTTGAAGATTTTATTTTTTGAGAAAATTGAACAACTGACTCTGTATCTCTTATTCCTAATACAAAATTATTACATTCTGCTACAAGCTTAGGCCTAGCACCATTACAAAGACATAACATTTTATAATGTATGATTCTTCCATTTTTTGTCTCAAGTTGCTTATTTGTGGTATTTACTTTCTCTACAAAATCGTGAATAACTATTAAAGAATTGCGTGTATTTGTTAAAGTTTCTATATCCTTCTCTTCCACGTTAAACTGCATTAAAGTTTTACCAAGAGGAATTATATTTGTAACTGCCTTTATTAAAGGACTTGCTGTAATTAAAACAGTACTTTCTTCTGGTGCAAGGAAACCTATGCTTTCAACACAAGATACTCCTGCAATACCACCACCTACTATTGCAAATGTACAATTTATTTCTTCCTTACTCATTGTTGCGTTCTTATTGAATACAAAATTTTAATCGCAATTTAAAATTTAATAATTAATTTTGCCACTCTGAATGATCATAATACCTATAATGAACATCATATGTAAGTAATCCATAGTCCCTTGCTTTCATTATAGCAGCAAGAAGATTATTATGAGATCTTTGACAAATACCAGTATAACTATAAAATAAAATACAAAAGTTAATAATATTGTACGTAATCGTTTTGTAATTTCTTTTATATTCAGAAAAATAAAAGTACCTACCTATAACTTAAGATTTCTCCAGTGTATTCGGAAATAAACTGTTTTAACAACTCAACATTACGGTAATCAAGAACTAAATATTCATCTCTACAGATTGGACAAGGATTACCAGTGGAAATCACTCCACCTCTCTATAAAAGATTGACAACACCATCATAACATTGACAATGATCAAAATAACTTGAATTTACTTTAAAAATACTTACAATGCACATTTTCCTTGTCTTTTTCGGTGCAAACTGTCCTTTAAAATTGCGCCTATAAAACTTCCACACTGGATAGTCTCCATAAGTTAGTTTGTAAGCTAAAATATTATTTTATAAATACAATACAATATACACTAAAAGATCCTCCTAGAGTTTCTTTTTATTAAAAACATACCAGTACTCTGTAAATATTGTATACTAGTTTCAGCAGGAATAATTTTAGTTCTGTCTTTTGTAACATTCAAAACTGGATATTTTATTCCATTCTCTTCTATTACATCTACCTCGTTAGAATTTGTAGACGTAGAACGTATGAATTTCGTAGAAATAACCTAAAATGTAATTCATAATCATGTATAAATACTAATAATAGTTACTATGTTATCCCTTACTTTTGCAGTTAGATTACTTCGAAAAATTGATCCAGCTAAGAATAATTTATTTAATATCAATGACATTGTTTTTTTATTTAAATATATCTCTTAAAACTCTTGATATCTGCAATAATTCAATTACCCGACATTCGTAGTAGGAATTTCCTGCGACCTAATGAAACCGGAATTCATGAGCAAAAACAGAATCAAATAAGAAACAATTAAATTTAGTAATTGTGCCTAACTAAACATCTTATATTAATATTAAAATACTTTTATATTATTTATTTTCATATGTCACTATTATATTTAATTTTTTAATATTTAAACCAATTTTTATTCGATATCAATAAACTAGTACTGAAAAGCATTTTATTACTAAATTGTATTAAACCATTCAGGAACATATATCAACATTTTTTTTTAAATATGCATCATTTATAATATTACAAGTTATTATCAAAGTCGTGTTTCATAAAAGTTGCTCGTATGATTAAAGTCATTTTAAAGTTCATATAAGGACTAGTCAAAAAAGTTATTGTTTCATTGCATTGAAATATTGGACATATTTAAAAAATGAATTATTATTCTTTTATTTTCATTTTAATATTTTATAGTAATATATTTATAATTAATTGTCTCTAATAATAATATAATATACAATAAAATAAACCAACATTTGATTCGGATGACGAAAATAAGATACTTCCGACTTGGGCGTAACAGCAGGTTCTACGTAGTTAGGTGAGAATAATTTTACTTAAGTTAATAGTAAATTTTGGAATTGTTCAACAAGATATTACAAGAAAAGCGACACTAAGGTAATAAAAGTAAAATTTAAATAATGTTTGATTACAGATGGCAGCTGAAGAAGAAGATACTTACGGATTTCGGACAATCTTGTAGCGTTTGCTGATGCGTAGCCTATTTTCATCAAAACGTAGGGCCACGTCGCTATCGTGTATAGGAAATGTTAAATTTCTTATACACTGCTGTGAACATTTATTTTCCATAAAAAGGATTTAATTATTAATCAAATGTGAGTGGCTTTTCTGTCGTTCAAAAAAGCCGAAGTTTCTTTTCTGACAGCATTTTATTTAAAACAACTAGCAGAGTCTGGTACAGTTTTCATTACATTTTTATATCGCTACATACATATATCTCGTAATGAATATAATAAAAACAGAAAAAACTTAGTAGGAAAATATTTGAGGGTTAGACAGTATAGGACAATTAATACAGTAGTGATATAACTTAATTGTATCGTTGGAACTGTCGGATTTTCACGATAGAAGTTGCATGCGAGGTATCTATTTTCTGTTGAAATTGCAAGAGTGATAAACAAAGTATTATCGGAACGCTATAAAAAGTGTTAGTGATTGCATATATTTGAAAAAAACTACAATTTTCGTAATAATTTTCATATAATATAAATGGATCATCATGGTGAGCTATAAATAGAAGTTGCTCGGTGATGTCAAGTGAAAGGGTGGGGTCGTAACGGTTATTGGTCGATGTTAAAAGGGATTCGAAACGTGATTGGTTGATTGTGCAACCATTCTGGGTGGGACATGCGCAGAAGTATTGCGCAGGAAGAGATTCGCCAGTTGACCATCGAGTGATCGCCGTTGACTGAAGAGTTCACCTCTTACATTGATAGTTTCGCTATTTGTAGCTTCTTTTACATAATTGAAGTATTTATAGATATTTCTTATTGAAGAATGCAAAATAACGAAATAATTAAAATAGTAAAAGATTCTGTACAAAAATCCTTTCGATTCTCATTTCCGTTTTGTGAGGGCAGATTCTTTGTATAGTTGAATGATAAGGGCAATGAGAATTACGAAGCATTTCAAGAATTTCTTGTTAACGAACAATTGTCCGTGAAAGTATATTTTAGGCTTAGGTAATGATCTTAGATATAATTTTTTATTCGTAGACGTGGATTTTTTTGAGTTAAATACAATCTATATTCGTTAGAATGTTGAACAATATGGCGGTGTCGCGTATGCTTAGCCTCGAAAAACTGTGTTTCGTTTCACCATTAAAAGAACGAATGTTTTTGTGTTTCATTGCAGATTTACGACATGATCCTTTGTTTGTACTTCAATATGCGTTAAATCGTCAAGAATAACATCAAAATGGTAAGTCTAGTTTTTTTGTTCGAATCAATCACTTTCTTCTTAGTTTGTAAATTTCTTTAGAGAGGGCGCCATGTGCGATGAATTACGATTGACGTGTAATGGAAGGGGAAAGCGCTAGGATCAATAACCTTCATTCATTTGACCTCGTATTCTATTTGTGGCATTACCGACTTTTTAATATTCGCACGATGTAGGTAGTTTAATGAGAGTTTATTTTAAAAATTAATGTAATATACGTTACTAATACTCGTATCGAGTAATAAAATGGTGAAGGTAAATGATTCTATCGCTTTTTCCTTACATTTATATGTATATTTAACAAGTTATCCTTTCACATTGAAATGTTTTAATGTAATGTATACTTTCATCATTACATAATATGAGGTTATAAAATATCCCATATAATGGAAAGGTATTTTAGTAGATGTTAATTTAAATGAACTTGAATTATTAAATATTCAGAAAAGAAAATAACATAAGTATTCAGACAAATTTCAATTTAATAAATTTTGGATGTAATCATTCTATACCAAAATATAGACTGGTATTTTCTACCCATGTGGTATTAGGGATATATTCTTAAATTTTCAAATTTTAGAATATTTTAATTATTGAATTTTCAAAAACTGCTTCATCGTACTTGGTATGAAACACAGATACTGTTAATGAAACTGTGGGACCTAATCCTGTTTAGTTAAAAAAAATTAAAATATAAAGTCGAATTGATGACATTTCATTTAAAACATTTGAATTTTGGTGGATTAAGTTTTTACATTATTACACATAATTACACACAATTGCATTATTATGTATAATCTGCTTAAACTTCAACATATATGACATTTTACATGTGCTTTTTCAGCCACGTATAGATCCTCTATCTTTATTGAAATGTCTTAGCGTTTTATTGGGGCCAACTGGAGGTATTAAAAGTAAAGAAGAAGTTCATCGATTGACTAATTTAATGACAAAGTTTTCAAAGAAACTTGTTTCAAAATGCATTTACATACAAATATTAAAAACTACAAATACTGATTTACTTAGCCAGTAAGTATATGAGCTCCTTTTTACCTGTATTATTAATTTTTTATACATCAAATAAATAATATTCACTTTAAGAAGATTTAATTGAACAAATGTTTATGTTGAAAGTAAAATTCTTTATATTGCATATTGCATACACACAGATATTCATACCTTGTATTCCTGTGTGATATATAATAAATATGCTAGATTAAAAAAAATAGGTACTCTAAACCAATGAACAGTTTTAATATATGGACTGTACTCACTGATGAGAGTTCCACAATTTCATTTATTTAAATTATTTGATGTATCATTAGAGAAAAAGTGATACAGTACAATGTAATTTATAATATAAACAATATTTTTCTTTGTTCAGATTTATGGGTGCTGGAGGATGGAATCTCGTTCATATGTGGCTCACTGATGGCATTCTTGCAAAAAATTGGGCTCTGATTCAAGAACTGCTTGAGCTTCTCTTGTTATGTCCAGTAGATATTGAACGATTAAAGAGCAACAATTGTCCAAAATTGATAAAAGGTTTATCAAAGGAAGGTAGTCATCAAGGTGTTAGAGTGTTGGCTAGTCGATTAGTTGAGCAGTGGTTAAAAATAGTGAAAGGAGAAGCTGCACCGAATTCTGTACCAGCACAAATCATGACGATTCCGGTACAAACAACTGGGGCTTTGGGACAAAGTTTAGTTCCTCAGTCGACACAACCACAGCAACAACAGTATTCCATTCATTGTGGTATTCAACAAGTTACTGATGGTGCAGAAAATGCAACGGTTCAGGTGCAAGATCTACAATTTATTCCAAACTCTACATCAACTGTTGCTGTATCTCATGTTCAGCAGCAACAACAATCGCAAGAACAACAACATCAGTTGCAAGAGAGGACAACCGTACAATCCTTACAGTTGCAAGTTGTTAGCAAACCACAACAGGTGCAAATACAACAACAATTGTCAACACAGCAATCAAAAAAGCCTGCTTTTGTTGTGGTATCCACGTCTTCTCAGTCTCCAGTTCCTGTGTATAAAATTACAATTCGTGAAGGCAAACAAATTCTTACGAAAGTGGAGACAGATGCTGCAAATATTAATAGTGTTTTAAATGCAAACAGTACAAAAGTAGAAGTTAATGGAGATGTTGTGGATGATACACCTCCTGTGAAAGAAAATTCTGAGGAGGAAGTAGCATCTACGGAACTTAGTGATGGTGTAGTCAGTGGACAAGATTGTGAAGCAGATGTACAATCTGAAAAATTAGACCAAGTTTCAAGTGAAGTGAAACAAACTGTAGTAGATTCCACGGACGATCTCGACGTGGACATTGTTAAGAGTAGGGACAATAAAGACATTAAAGACATTAAAGACAATGGTAGTAGTGAAAGTAGTAAGTCTAGTAATAAAGAAAATCGGGACTCTACTAAAAAAGATGAAAAAAAATCTAGTAGTTCAGATAAAAAAAATCATCATAGTTCGTCTTCATCTTCTAAAAGTTCTTCTAAACATACCTCCAGTTCCAGTTCGCATCGTAGTAGTTCCACATCTTATAAATCCAGTAGTCATCGCTCTAGTAGTAGTAGTTCAAAAAGTTATAGTTCCAAGGACAAGTCTTCCAAGGACAAGGATAAACATCACTCATCCAATTCATCCAGTAAACATAGCTCTAGTAAAAGTAAAACCGATAAAGAACGAGAAAAAGAAAAGCAGAAGAAAGATCAGGCAGAGAAGGATAAAGCAACTCTAGAAAAAGTACAAGGTCAAGCACTGAGTTCCAAATTGGGGAAAATACCGAAGAAAAAATCAGAAGAAGAAAAGTCCGGAGATGCAGTCGTAAGAAAATCGTCAACGGATTCTCGAGATAGTTCTAAAGAAAATAAGACTGATTCAAAGAAAATTGTTTCGATCCCAGAAAAAAAGAATATTTCTATTTCTATTGAGAGTAGGAAAAATTCTCAGGATTCTACATCACGACCAAAGACTGTGAAAACATTTAACTCTAAATTTCGATCAACAGGTCTGGAGGAAGAAGTAAAACCTCCTCCACCTAGATCAGCAAAAAAACCAAATCCTATCATTGATAAGAAGGTTATACCCCAAAAATTACCTGTTTTAAAAAGGCCATCTCCACTTAGAGAAGCTATTCCAACAGCGGATAAACGAGCGAAATTATCATTGGACTCGCCAACAACTCCTCCAGGCGAAGAAAAGAAAGGAGGCATCAAATTGATACCACCAAAACCAAAACGTAAGTATTATTCAATCTCTAAAATATATTTCAAATATTTCTTTGCAAGTACATGTATATTATTTTTTTCTACAAGTTAACTTTAATTTTAATTCTTTAGGGACAAAGGTATATATTATCTAAAATTCTTATCTAATGCTGATGTTCCAAGACTAGATACTTTAAACTTAAAACCAGCTTCTTTTTTTATCATTAGTGTGCATACGTTTTTTACGAGTAATTTATATTTTAGCGAGTAGTTTAACGCTTAGTATATTTTAACACGTAATTCTAATGTTAAAATTATTTAAACTGATACATTGTGCAGTCTTCTTTCAAATTATTTCACTTCGTAAAAGTAGAAAAAAGACAATGTAAAAGCATTTAACTTAATGTTTCTTGATTTTAGTTTTATGATTAAACTTTTGTTATGCAAAAATTAGGAAGTAAATCAAGTTACCAAATTCAACTTAAAATAACTAGTCTTCGAATATCAGTTTCTTCTATTATACCATTCTATTACTAACTTCTTAATATTGAGTTTGCAGGTGGTTGGCTCCAGGAGAAACACGAGCAAACTATATATATTTATATACTTTATATCTGTTGCGTGAATATTGATATTTCACTTCATTCGCTAAATTTACATAGTTTTCTTACTTATTTTTATTAATTCACAACTTCTTTCAGGCATATATATTTTAGTTTATAGTATATAATAGGACCCTGTATTACTTTCCTACAAATTATTAGAATATTGTAGAAGGTATAAGAAAACATATCACTCGACCCACATGGAAGTGGATCGAACGGATTTCTCTTGTGCTTGCCTCGATAATTAACATCACGTTAGAAGAACGAAGACATTAGGATCATCTCTTTGAGCATCGATTTATTTGCTATATTAAGAAGCTTCAGCAGGTAATCTTCGATAAAGTACTAACTAAATATCGTACGTAATATCTAAACGCTATAGTGCCACGTGGTAAATTCGTATAGTCAAAATATTTTTAATAAGCGAAATATTCGAATTAATTGTGCAGTTTCTTCTACGAATATTTGGATAAAACAAAAAAAAAGAATAACGAAAGGTGTGTTCTTATCGATATATCTTTTCGGGGTGTGTGTTTTACTGTTCTCCAACAAACTGATTACACCGATAGAAGTCACCATGGATATTACTAATCTATCTAGGTAAGGAAACAAACCAACTCTTGTCTGTCCATACTTCTTCCCTTGTACATGTACACCCTATTAAGCATTTAAATAAATTGATCAGAAATCTGGAAATATTTAACTCTTGGGTTTCTGCTATACATCTTGCTCACTGAATGCTTGATAAAGCAAAACACTCAATTCCGTGAGCCCATCCAGATTTCCATCCTCTCGGTGACTAATCGTACAAAATTGAAAGTGCAAATCTGGACACTCAAAATGGTATCGTATGTTGAAACGATCTACTAGGTTGCGATAGTAAAGTTACGCTACGTTCAGTGATGAACAGATTAAGTGTCCGTCGAAGAACTCGTAGTGATGCACGGTCGGTGCAATAACGAGATGTGCAAGAAAGAGGACAATATCGATATCATCTTTCCACTCCTGACAACCTCGCGAATATAGCGCCCTCGAGGCACAACATATTGCCATCACTTATATTGCCGGTCCGAGCGAGTTTCCTTCATATGAACTTTCTCGTACGCTAGTGGCGCCCTCTTATCGTTGTAGCGTACGGCGGTTCATGGATTCACATTTTCAAATATATAAATTTAGAAGTTCTGAAACTGAGAAATTACACAGTTTTTAGTTTAGAATCTCGAAATTTGTAAATTTGTAAATGCTGTGTGGAAAAGCCTTTCTCTATTATCATTTGCTACAGTCTCGTTCGTAGCAATATAACAAGAGATAGTGTACCCATTGGTGCCAATCACTGTGCTGGATAACGTTGATATAACATATTGTAGTTTACTCGTACTACATCAAAAACGATAAGGTTTCTGCTTTGATAATTTCTTATTGTTTAATAAATGGATGCAATGTCTTAACATTGTGATACCATTTCAAGTGTCATTGCACAGGGCAAACAAAATTGTTACTTGAGATACGTCATTTCCAATTCTGTAACTTTGTTTAATTCACAGTGAATTCGCACAATCAATCGAAATACGTTCATCAGAGAGAATTGAAATTTGCATCGGGCATATAGTCCCAAGATATCCTTCTGAACGCGAGAAAGAATGAGAGAGAATGGGAGAGCGAGAGAGAAATAGAGAAAGAAAGAGGGAGAGTGAGATGAAGAAAGAGATGAAAAAGAGAAGCAGAAAGTAATTGTATGTATGGATGAATACATGGAAAAGCGAACAAAAAATGCGTGGCATGATGTTCGAAGGAAATTCGTTTGAAAACGAATGTGGAATTTCGTGGAAAAGCACTTCCGAAAAAAAATGCATGAAAAATACGACGCTGCGTACCGACTCAACGTCTTCGAACAAGCCGCCCCTTAGGATCAACGAGTCTCTTCTTACGACGTGTAATTCGTCTATTTCCAATGACAACGTCGACATGGCGAAGAAGGTCTTCTTCCTTGCCAGTAATCGCGCATTAAACGAATCGAAAACGTTACTGGAATGGGAAAAAAGATATAAAGAAGAAAATACAGGAGAAACGAAACTTTGATGTTTCCTAATCGATGATTGTGCTCGATGCAAGCGTATTCTGTTATTTATCCTAAAATTTATCGAGTTCAAACAAAAATTCATGTTCAATACGTTGAAACAAGATAGATAAATCGAAAGATACATTATCGTGTGTACCAGTGATGGGCAAGTGGTGTGCACTCGCGGGCGCTGATGGGTAGTCAAATTCTCAGTTTGAAAATCTCCAAATTTTGAAACTTTTCAAATTCCACCATTTCTGAACCACTAAATCTAAAACACTCCAAATTCCCGTATCTATAAATCCTCGAATTCTCAAGTTTCCAGATCTCTAAATCTACACGTTTCCAAATTTACAAACGGCCAAATTTCTAAAGGTGAAAATTGAAATGCCTATGGATTTCCAACACCTCGTCGTTGCACCCGTGAGCTCATCGATGGACACTTGATCTGCATATCACTGGTGTATACGAACTTCTCTGAATAACAGTTAGTTTGAAATCCATTTGTACAAGAGTGTTTTCGGAGTTATATATTATTCATGCTTGTAACGCTATTTTAAAAAAGGAAAGGGGGGTTGAATAAAAAATATCGCTACACTACTTTTAATTTTTTTATATTTTAATATTTAACGCGACCCACCCAAAATCATATCTTTCTAAATTTCAAGATCAAAATATCCCACACCCTCATTTTGGGAATCTCTTATCTGAGGGAAACAAATCCTATTGCGGTTCGAAGAGAAATACGTAGTTAATTCGAATTCAAATATACGAAGAAAACAGAATCGATACAACAGAGTTGATATATTTCGATATTGGACAATTTGAATAATTAAATAGAGAGAGAGAAAGAAAGATTTAAAAATAATTTGTTTGAATTAGACGCGTCGACAGAGAATAGGCGGGAATTACGGCGGAGTTGCGCAACGGCGCACTTGTTGGTGTTCTCGAGTACTAAGGACGATGTTTTTGCAATGGTCTTTACGTCGGCTATCGCGTATGAGGCCAGACTATTTCTCGTGGCAATGCATTACGCTCACGCATTATATTAACCGTTCCACATATTTAGATCCGCGCCATTCGTCGACGATTTTCTTGTCGTGCGGTGTTTCAATTTGAACTTGAAAAAGATATTAAACGAACGATCAAGTAGCTTGCCTTATTATTTCAGCTACTATTTATAGTTTCTTTTATTCGATTCCTTTTTTATAACTACAGAAAACGCTTTTTAAAAAATATGTATGCGTTTGTTAGCATTTTATCTTATTACAAGATAGTAATTCAAAATAAAATGTTAATATTAATTTTTGTACGTCTAATTCGAATTAAAATAGTTGTCCTTAATATAGTATGTAATATTATATTTAAATTTTATTTATATTATTGTAATTATGTTTACGTTGTTATTTGTTTTTTGTGAATATTCAGCAGTTATTGTTATTTAAGAATTTTCTATCATTTCTTTGCCGAGGAAAATAATCATTCTTTAATCTCTGTTGCTTCTCTTGAAATACGAAAAGACGTAAAAAGAATGGAATAACTTTAAATTATCGTTGATTCGATTGCGTAAAATTTGTTCGAATAAAGAGTGTACACGTTCGAAGTAATTATTATAAAACGAAACTAAATGTTTATTTATTTATTATTAATAAACTAGTTGAATGTACGACTTCTGCAGAACGCGTTTGAAACGAAGCAAACGACTAACGAGCGTGATTTTAAAGGTTTATGGAAATAAAATTGGAGCCGTACAATTAAAACCCATATATTATTCCCCAGTTTGTTATTATTACTTCTATCAAATGCGTTTCGACGATTATAAATGTATTTTATCATCGATTCCATATCCTTTTTCTTGCATCTTAAATCTCGTCGCGTAACATCGATTTGTTATAATCAAAAATTCGACATCGAGTTTTCACGTTGTTCGTAGCCACTGATTCTTGTTTTATGTAAAAGTTATTAAAAATATCTTTGAATTCGACGAAACGGGAAAAATGTTACACGAAGCATTAAAATATATATTGATCATTAAACAAAAATTCAACTTTTCGTTTCTGCATGTCACTGAAACTATAAATTTATATGATAATTAATGCGTCCACGCATTTACGCATCGCAGAAAATTTGAAAAATACATCGCGCTTTAGGAGCGAAATGCTTTTAGCGTCGATTGAACGATTGCTGTTTTTTTATGTATCTGATTAATGAAAAAAGAAAAACCTTGCAGATAACAAACGTGTTCGTAGATTATAAAAAATACACATTTATAATGTCTTCTGCATTTATATTTACGCCTTTTGCTCGTCACGAGTTTACGTACTTTGAATGATGTTAATATTAAACGGGTGCGCGTTTATCTTTGCTTAAAACTTTGGATTATATCGATTTATTCCTTTCATAAGACATTTATTAATACATTTATGATTATTTAACTTATCATAATTTATCGATATTATGAATATTAAAACTTGCCATATGTATTCGTGTATTAAAATATACTTTATCGAAGATTACGTCATGATAATAATTTGATTTTCCAATTTCAATATAATATAGAAACAATAACTACTTTAATTTTGTTACAGATTTATTGATGTCTTCGTCCGTTCTCCGCTAAAAATCTTTACTTAGTTTCAGTGCGATCATGAAGCGTCTATCAATCTTCACGCAACTTTGTTAATCCTTTACAACTTTTTAGCAATAATTTACCAAAATTTTGTAATTAAAGTTTACTTTACAGGATTACGTTTGGAGAACGTTTATTATTTTTATTACATTCGAATTGGGGAACACAGCGAGAAACTTTATACTGAAATAAAAATTTCTTTATTTAAATATACATATTTATATCCGATATTAATTAACAGTTGTACTACTTCGAATGTAATCACGTTAGCGCAACAATTTCTGATGATAAGATAATTAACATATCAATGTTTTTCTTCTGTTGTATTCTTTTATTTTAATTAATAGGTGATTATTATAATTTTTTTCCAGCGATGGTTTTGCAAGAAAGTGATATGTTTATGGATGCTTTGACTGCATCGACGAAAAGTAAAGAACCGAGGAAGAGGAAGCGGAGAACATCCATCACGAAAGACGGTCCCACGGAAGCGAAGAAACAGGAAACTGCCAGTAGCGATAATCGTGATGTTACACCTCCACCCACCTCACCACCAAGTGCCGATGAAAAATCACCTGTAGTTGTCAAGCCTAACTTTAAGGTTCGTATAATTATTAAACTATAAAATTACTAATTACCATTCCTATAACATTAACATATTTTTATTTATTTATTTAATAAACAACTTATAATTTTTAATAATAATTAAGGAAACTATTTGTTATTAATTTTAAGCTTATCGAAAGATTATTTTACAATATTGCATTTGTTTAAATCATACTTTTTCTTGCAGTTTTACCAAGACACTTTGGAGACAGACGAAGATAAGGAGCAAAAAGAGAAAGAGAATTCGGACGACGATGCTAAGAAAGAGAAAGAAGAAACGTCCGATGATCAAAAAGAAAATAGAGTATTTAAGGCGGACGTTGATGATGATGGAAGCAACAGTAAGTTCTATGATTTGTTTTATATTTTATATTTCTTTGGTGGTGTATATAAAAATGTTCTATTGTCTTTTCAGCACCTACACCGGACGACGATGTAGAAGAAAAGACTTCCGATTCTCCGGAGGATACGTCTTCCATGTCAGATTCTACAAAGAAAGAGAATGTCGGTGCTTATCCTGAAATACGATATGTCGATGGACTGAGAAGCGTTTTATTGCTTCAGAAACGTAAAGGGCCGAAAAAAGTGTTGAAATGGAAAACGGACTTGGAATCCGTACGTTACTTCGAGTTGGATGAAACAGAAAGGGTGAACGTGACGAAAACGTTCACTGATATGAAACAAATGGAAAAACAAAACGAGAGGGAAGCATTCCAGATGGCCAGAAAATTAAGTATGTTATTTATAATCAAAAATTGTCTACCATATTTTAGTTATTTAGAATACTGAAATAAAATTTAACATTTTTTTATAGGTAATGAAGATTTGATGGAGGAAAGAACGAGGTGGAAACCTTTAATTCCGATCGATCTACCTCCTGCCTTAGTAGAGCCCGGAAAAGACAGCAGGGAGAAAGATATTCAATATGCTCGGGAGAAAGGCATTTTACAAGCGTTATATTTCAACCGAAGCATGTAAGTATATATTTCAATAGTTGAATAGTTAGTAATACAAGCAAAAAAAATTTTATAAATCGCATGTTATAACACATGAATATTTATTTTTGTAATCATGTGAATAATAGTACTCATGCTATAGTAAAAAAATAGGTACTCAAAGCCAAAGAATAATCTAAAACATGGATTGTACTTATTGATCAGAGTACCACAAAACATGATTACTTAAAATGTTCTATTTGAAAGTAGAATGGTTTTCTTATATAATATGTTTGAATTACAGGATTCCAGACTCTGCAGCGGAGCCTGATGAAGAGCGTCACCATGTATATAGCGAACCCAAAATCATTCCTTTGGACGACCTCACAGGAAATAAAGAAAGCGAGAAAGACTTTACTTCCATGCCGTGGCCAGAACCAAAACCGCAGTTGCAACCTCAGACACCTCCAGTTTCAAACTTCCATTATTCCTCGTTCCCCCATAATCAACAGCCAGTAATGGCGCCTATGGGTCCTCAAGCATCAATGGGACCAATGCCTCAAATGTCTCAGCAAATGATGCCACCATCTCACATGGGCCCGTTAGGCCCAGAAATGGGAGGTCCAATGTCTGCCGGAGGAGGAGGTTGGAGAACTGGAGATGGAAAAGTTGTTGTCCCTGATGCTATGGGAATGAATCCCATGGGCAATATGCCAAATGCATTTCCACCGGGAATGGAAGGTGGTCCAATGGTACCGCCTGGAATGTTAGGACCACCGCCTATGTATAATCAACAACAAGAAGGTTATGGTATGATGGGTCCGGAAGACATGGGATTCAATAACATGAATCCAAATAATTTCCAAGGACCACCTGGTCCTTTGTACGGTCCTGGGCCTAACTTTCAAGGTCCCAGAGGTGGCGGCCCAATGCACGGCAGAGGTAGAGGAGTTCCTGGACCTGGTTGGTACAGAGGTGGTGGGGGACCACCGGGGAGAGGAGGATGGAGAGGAGGTGGCGGATGGAGAGGAAGTGGAAAGCAGCCTCCCGTGTGCAGACAATTTTCGAAAAATGGTTACTGTCGGGTTGGTGATAAATGTCAGTATCTTCATCCCGGAGTGAACTGTCCACCGTTTTGAAAATAGTTGAAGTGATGAAAGGATTTATTGGAATTTTCGTGGGTAGCATAATATGAATGTTCATTCTACTTAAAGTGAACCAACGAGAATGAATAAAAATCGTATCGGAACGAGATCGTATGAAAAATATCAAATTATATTCGACACAAGCTTATATTAGTCGAGGAAATTGATTATAACGTGCAATTTTCTATTAATTATGCAAAGAATCAGGCAGATAATATGACATTTATACACGTATATTTTCTCAAGATTGAATGGTATACAATAACTTTCGATTCTTTTGCATCGTGTAATATGGAAAGTGAATATTACAAGAAAAAAATTCCGTGATAGGTTTATTTTTTATGAACAATATCGTGCAGAATTTTAATATCGAAAGCTGCTTTGAATTCGAAATAATAATGAGAGAAAAACAAATAGGTTCGTCGGCTGCTGGACGGCAAGAGGTTCCTACACATTACTTTTTATTATAATTTTAAACAGATATTTAATGAAGTCTGAAATGATATTAAAGATACTTTTTATTTATCTGTTTTCTTAACATATTAATAATTGGAGTCTCGTAGAACAAAATCTCGATTGACATGTCTTCCTTTTTCGTTCATAATTTACAGAGAGTAGCCACTGCCGAAAATATGGTTGAAGTAATTATAATAAAAACTAAAATGTACGGGATCGTCGTAGATTTTAATCTTATTGGCATGACGAGTGATGATTTCAAAGTGTATGACGCTATAATGAGCAGAAAGTGCAAATTCCAATTTAAGAAGCATTTGTCTTTCAGATTGCCACATGGGTGTCTAATCGCTTTCTACTAATGAATATATGTATGTAATTAAAATACTGTTGAAATGAATCGAGGGTAATATACAACGGAATATTGTAACACCAAAAGTTCAAATAATAAGTTAAATAACTTTTTATTAAATTAAGATATCTTACATTTAGTCGTGTATGTAGATCGATTGTAAATATTATAATTGTACCATTTTGTATAAAATCTCGCTAGCTCTAATAACAAGAGACTGTTTTAGGCTTAAATAATATGTAATAATATAAAAGAAAGCAAGTTTTTAGTAAAGACGTGTATGTATAATTTGAAATAGTGAAGTGCAAAACGATCGGATGTTTGTAGAATACCTTTTCACGTGTGAAGTTGAACATGTATTCGACAAACGTGATCGCTAGCATACTATTGTATTAAATATTTTTTACGAATTAAAGGTAGTGGTTATTTTTTTGTATATGATTGATTGTTATGTTTGTATATAACATTGATTGTTGTATAAGAACTGCTTGATGGAATACATGAGTCATACCTATTTTCTAAAATATACTGCAGTTACTCTACCAATTAAAAGACTCCCTTTACAATATATTTAAACATTTTATTATCTTTTCATTAATATTTTTAAATATTTACGACTATCTTTACATTTTTATGTTTCTATAAAAATCATACTTTTCTTTATACATCTAACAATTACATGTTTAAACAATTACTTATCAACAATTTTTTTATAGTCAATAAAACAATATATTATATACAAATTAAAGACATTAGTATTAAATATACATAATATGTATACTAAACTGTATATTCAAAAAGGTAATATACACATCAAGTATATATTATAATATATTAAGCTCCACTTTTAATTTATATGAAAATTTATCTCTTTCGATATCAATCATTCATTAATTAAAATAGAATGAGAAATATTTCATTAATTTAAGTAATTCTAAATTTATTTAAATTGTTGAGGTGGAGGGCCAAAAATGCTTCCACTTTGTTTACTTGCTGTTCTAGATGGAGCAAATCCAAGTAGCTTTTGAATATTCTGTAAATAACAACATCTGTTTTAAATTTTTCAAAAATGTTATAGTTAAATAAAATACAAAATTAGAATTATTTTTATTTTAGAAATATGATATAAAAAGTCTTTACCTGTCTAATGCTCATAGTGCAAAGTATATAAAGAAAAATAAAGGAACATTCTGTATAATCATCTCCTGGAAGATTCCTATGGGATAAACCTTGTATCCAACTAATTGGAACAAAAGGCAATCTTGCCACAACTCTACCATCAAAAATGCTATTGAACATGCTTAAAAGAGCAGTAAATGCAAAACCAATTGCAAACATTGATTTCATTTTTACGAGTGATAAATCTCTGTTGTTATTTTTTAATCTTTCTTCTTCTCGTTCAATTTTCTTCTTTTGCTGCTTATCTAATGAATCTCCATGTGCTTCCTTTCTCTTTTCCACTGAAATATATTACATACAATTGTCATTAATAAATATTTTGTGTTGATGACAAAGTGTTCATAATACAGTTTTATTTGACACCATTATTATTCAGCAACTTACACTTTTTACTTTGCTTTTCTACTTCCGATTTCAATTTTTGATATTTCTCTGTTCTATAAACCATTAACCATGTTAAACCTATAAACAATTTCAAAATAATATGGAAATACAAAAATAACCTTAAAGTTAAGAAAACAATGTATAATGAAAACAATTTTTACCTTCTCCTAATAAAGCTGTGCAGATACTAATAAATACGATTAAAATAGTATCTGCCCACATATTGACACTAAAAGATCTAAATATTATTTAAATTATTCAAACATGTAATCCGAGTATTACTCTTTTAAATGAGTGATGAACAAATCAAGTGCCCGCCGAAGGACTCATAATGTGTTAGTGTGCACGGTACGTGCACCATGAAATGATGACGTGTTAAAAATCCAACAGATATGAAAATTTAGAAATTTGGGAATTTGAAGATTTGTAAACTAAAAATTTTAGAAGTTTAAAGAATTAAAAAATGTACGTATTAGAAATTTCTTTATTGTCAAGTTCTCAAATATTCCAATGTTCAAATTCTTCAAGTTCTAAGATTCCCAAATTCCCTACTTATCAATTATAATTATCACAGCACGCAACTAATAAGAATTTGAAGTATTATTAGGGATGAGACCAAAATTATTTACATTATTTATATGTGTTACAAAGAAATTTATTATACTTTGTAATTGAAATATGGAATCCATTTTGTGCATTTGTATACAATTAAAATAGATAAAAATAATTATAAATTTTTATATTGTAACATTCCTTAGGTTGTCTGAAAACTTTATTTGTCATAGTTTCTTTTCTAAAAGTAATTGATAAATGTTATCTTCAACTTATATTTATAAAAAGATACAATATGTACATATACCAAACTCGCAATACGTACGGCTTATTTAGATTTTAATCGTTTAATTTAAAATACTGCTTATGACTTCTTAATTTCATTTTATAATTTTAGTATTGCATACTGCATACTGCGTAAGTATTACATAATACTTTTAACCATGTACAAAATAAAAGCATCTACATATTCTCATTGAACACATTATGATAAATACATGTAGATAAAAAAATAATCTATAACTTATTGTAGTAGTATTAAACTTGAGTGTAATATTTAATTATCACGATGTTTAAAATGTTATCAATTGCTAAAATCATTTAATTGTTTTCTGATTGATCAATATTTTCAGTCCTTAAGCATTGCCTAATCTCAAGACCCAAAGCAGCACCTAATGGTGGTGGGACTGCGTTTCCGATTTGACGATGTTTATCGAGTATATTTCCATAAAATCGGAAAGAGTCTGGAAAACCTTGTGATCTGGCACATTCTCTTACGCTCACAACTCTTGTTTGTTCAGGATGCAAAACGCGGCCCTATTAACAAATTAAGAAATTTAATATACAAATGAACATTAAATACAGGATGATTTAATACAAAAACATAAACATGTACCTGTTTACCCATAGGTTCTGGATTAGTGATAGTAGTACCAAAAAATCCATCCCATTCTAATCTACCATATAAACCTGCCCACTGATTGTGACGTTTTCCAGTGTGAGGTAAGCACCAAGGAATTAAAGTATTATATTGTCGATCCATCGGATCACATATTTTGCCAGCAGAACAATTACATACTCCACGAAGTGCTCCTGTAGAACTTTTACCTGATTTTTTATCATTATGCGTGTATTCTCTGTAACATAAACATATTATTATTATTGTTTAAAAATTTTAAGCTGCATTATATACGGATTTAGATGTGAAATATACTTACAATTTTTTTGAATATGTTCCATCACTTAAACGTACTGCAATATTTGGTAAATCTCGCCAATCAGATCCGCTTGCAGTTGGAATATGTGCTATTCGTGCTTCAACGAGAGGTGCCATATCTTTACAAATATGATCTCTTAATATAGCATCAGGTTCTTTAGGTCTTATCTATAAATAAATGTGAAATATTTAATAAACAAATATTTTTATATTAATATTACATGAACATGTAGCAACTTACTTTTCTTTGAAAGTGAGATATTGGTTCATCGCCATAAGCAATTTCTTCCTTATTCCATCCATTTCGGATATTAGGTAAATCAGACATCGCATCACGAACACTGATTGTTCTATACGGCGCTGACTCTGTCCAATCACAGTTCGATGAATACTATCAAAAAATAAAAATATTAAGAAATTTGTATAGACAATTTCATAATTGAAATGCAAATAATAATTGTATCCTACTTTTTTGTTATCTACAATAACACTTAATTGGCATGCTCGTTTACTAAACACATGAGTCGGTTCTGGATATTTTGGAAGAACTTCTCCAGGAGCAGCAGCTAATATTATCAATCTAAAAATGTGTAATCAAGGATTAGAAACGTTAAGTAATAAAAGATAAACATGTAACTAATGTACATAAATTCATTTTCACCTTCTCCTTGTTTGCGGTATACCATAATTTCCAGCTTGTAGAATACCAAATGTGCATTGGTAACCCATTCGTACAAGGCACCTTAATGTTAACTTGAGTACCATACTTTTTTTAAAAGATACAAAATTTCTGACATTTTCCATAATAAAAAATTTTGGCCTATAATAATCGCAATAGGACAAACATGATACTACTAAAGAGTTCTTAAATAATGAGTATTGCCGTGAATTAAAACGATTCATGCCACTAAAACCTTGGCAAGGTGGTCCACCACATAATAATTCTACTTCCCCTTTTTGAGGCAAACGCTGTCCATTGTTATCGCGAAGTTCGCCCTACATTATAAAATTCGTATGTGTATATTTTTGTTAGAATTTTCTTTGTCTATAATAATAATTATACTTACATTCATAACTTTTCGCAAAAGTACATTGCAGTCTTCACAGAACACTGTTGTATTAGGATTATTAAGTCGATACGCACATGCAGCTGGTTCATCTTTTTCAATCGCCCATTGATTGTCTATAATACCAGCTTGTCTCAATCCTTCGGATAATCCTGCAATCGAAGTTTTAATTTAAAAAAGGCAATCAATACTTAAAAAACGAAAATATTAAGTTTTACACTAACCACCACAACCAGCGAAAACATCTAGCGTTTTCAATTTTTTTGGTACAGTGCAATAATCTACAGGTTTATTAATTATTTTCTTATTATCATTATCTAACTGTTTATTTTTGTACTTTGCTTTTCCTTTCCCTTTTCCTTTTCCTTTCCCTTTTCCAGATTTTCCAATACTCATAGCATGATTTGGCGGATCAACAAAAGTTTTTTCTGAAGCATTATAAGCTTGTGAAAAGTAAAAACGATTGGGGCCAGCAGCAGTCCATTCTTCTGGAGATTGATCTAGATTTTCTAAATACATCAAATAACATTTTCCTGCCACATCTGAAAATCTGACGTCGCAAACTAAAATGTTTAAATTAAAATTAGATATATCAATGTGTGTATGTAATTTATGAATGAATATATCTATTATAATATTTTACCTTCATCGCTCCAATACACCATATTAAGATCAACCTGTTGCATCAGTGTAAGTCCTTTATGTGTATTTTCTGGTCGATACATCTTATTTATTTTAATCCATATTTCGGAGGATGCAACTAACTGACTATTAGTTGTTGCATATATTGCATTTATATAACCAATATGAAATGGTTCAGGCGTATCGTAATTTGATCCTTTCACGTGATCTGATGATTTTCGATAATATTCAGGATACATATCTTCATCTACCTTTCCTTTCTTTGGTTTCGTAGAAATGTGATTTATAGATGTATATTTATACTTTATAGCTCCTGGCATTAAAAATACAGCTGTCCCAACTGTAAAATCTTCGCCTTTATATTTTACCGTGTTATATATTACTTCTTTATTACTTTTTTCTTCTCCCCGATCAAAAACCTTTGGTGTGTAGTAACATTGTAATGCAGTAAACCGCACACAAGCAGGACAAAATCGATGACTGATTTCTTTTCGTGGGCAAATAGGATCTGGAGAAGGATCTTCAAAACGAGCTGTTTCTGGGGTATACTTTTTTTGATAGAAAAATGTTTTTCCATCTTTATTTTGTATTTCATCTTCTAATGGTATATCCGTATTTCCTGAAACATAATTAATAAATATTATGTATATAACATATAATATTTTAAATAATAAATAGTGTAATTACCTAATTCACTCCAATTGTTGGGACTGGCTTTATAAAGAACAGTAGCTTTAGATTTTATTGAAGTGAATGGTACATTGTCACATTCATCAAGTAAAAACAGTTCCAAAGGATCTGATGTTTCACCAAGTACAGTATCACTGCCTCTTCTAAACCAATTTGCATGACACAATTTAGCACCGCTTTTGTCCTCCCACATATACATAACTTTAGCTACTTGCAATGGAACAGTAGGATCATTTGATTCAATTAATACATAATCATTTGCTTTTATTTCTTCGTCAGTTACCATGACTGAGTTATAAAATGTTCTTCTACCATCATCTATAACTGGTTCTCCTATCCATGTAATTTCTTTCTCTACATGTTTAAATTCTTTTAAAATCATTTTTTGAGTGATCTTCGTATTTTCCATTGGCATATCATTAAGATCATCATCTTCTGCATCTGAATCATCTGCTTCTTGTATAGCCATATTTGGACATCTTCTTCTATTGCAAGCTTGCTTGCTTCTTCCAGATCCACCAAATTTAATCATGTCTTTACAAGCTGCACAGATACCACAGTCTGGTTGTTGACAAATTTCACATATTCCACATCTTTGTCTTTTTGGTCCCATTATTTCTTTATTACCGTTTGTGGCTATTTGATCAGAAAAGAATGTTTCAAACATATTATTGACTAATTTTGTAGTAGTGGCTTTGGTCCAAGTAACTTTTTTATTCTTTTGATCTTTTGAGTGGGGTCTGCGTAATGCAATTCTTTTCTTTAATGTTACACCTGCAAGTGTTATCAATGCTCGCATACATGGACTTGTAATTAATAGAGGATCTTCTGGTCTTGCTGATGCATCAAAGGAAATAACTTGATCACAAATAAATTGTGCATAACGCAACAAAGAATCTTCTGTGAACCTAGATAATCCTTTTGGTGGAACAATGGTTTGCAATCTATGTAATAAATCTTCATAAGTAGGATTAATTTCGTCCAGTAAAAATTCTATTACTATCTTGCTCATATAGATTTTTTCTTTCACAGAATCCATAAATGGTGCATATGCTTCAGCTGGTTCCATTAATATATATTCTGCAAATGGTGTGTTAAATCCTATCAATGCTAATTCGCCACCATCAAATCCTGACACCCACCATTCATTTATTGGGCCTATATCTTTTGTAGGCATACCACCTTCTGGAGATGAATTTTCTTCATAGATAGGTTTCATGTAACCAGAAAAGTAAAGTATAACATTCTTTTCAATTAAACCAGTATCAAAAGGACATAAGTGTCCATTTTTATCATATACACAAAAATGAGTTATTTTATTTTGTGGCCTTTCATCACCTTCATAAAACATAGTTTCTTCTCCTGTAAATAAAGATAATTTAGGATCTGTCAATGCAATCATTTCCTCTACAGCTCCATTAGGATGACCAGGATATATTTTGATATCTGTGCTTGTTAATTTTTGACAACAATATTCACATTTCTGTTGGACATTAATAGGTTTTTGTTGCAGCATTATAGGTTCTTTTATAGGTATATTATTATTGTCTGTTTTGGTCTTTTTAAGTGTATTAGTTTCAGATTCATCACTTGAATCTTCTTGTTCATCCTTTAATTTAGTATCTGATATATCAGGCATTACTGTATTATCTTCTACTAACATAGGAACCTTTGTTTCCAGAACTTCGGTTTCGTTACTTCTTCTTTTGCTGGATTTTCTTGATTGAATCTTCTGTTGTGGTGAACGATGTTTGGTAGTATCACCATTAATTTTATTTAAGCTAGATATTTCTACATTGACATATTTTCCATTGCGTAGTTTTCTCCTATCAGTGCTTGCTTCTTGAATTATCATATTTTCAATCACTAGAGAGTGAAAATTAAATTTTATTTTATTATCTAGAACTGCGCTACATTTTTATTAAAATACATTGGGATACATTACCTGTATTTTCACTTTCGTCAACGATACAATTATTTAAAGATATTTGTTGTACTTCTATATCTTCAACCTTTGTTTGTTCCTCTCTCTCGTAAGTTCCAGCATTTCGTAAGCTAAGGGATATCATATTGAATAAAACTGATTATTAACGTTTTGTGCACAACTTATCGTCCTTCTTTAATGTCAATTCTTCTTGTGCAAACTCCAACAAATGTAAGTAAGATATAACATCAGAAATAATTGCAAACCAACACGCTTCTTTATAATTTCACAACTAAATAGAAAACACTTAAGTACGAGACATGATATTGCTGGTTGTACCGCCAAAATCTTTCAAACCTTATTTACATGGGACCATTACACTTACATTCCATTACAGGACAGACATTTTTATTATTAATTCTTATGAATTTGTATTATATGAAAAATTTAATTACACGATTTAAAATGTTGCTGAAGATAGTTTAAATATATTTGCAACAATCTATCAATTTTGAAAAATATTATATATACTAAATGTGTTTCCAAAATTTGCCATAAAGTGAGGGCACTACGATCGCTTTCTATACATTTGAAAATAATGGTTGACCGGCTACGTATTATACATGACAAAGCGATAGCAGCGCTATATGCTATATGATAATTCTGATGGATACGTCTTTCGTTAAACAGTCAGTGATTGAACGGAGGACGTGTACTGTGTTGTAGTGTCATTAGTGATAACGGTATAGTCGTAATAAAACGAAGTATTTGAAATAATGGGGCGAACTGTATATGCCGAAGAACGTCTTCATACTTACCTAATATCTTTAGCAAAACCAGATGAATATACAATAGGATTAATTTTGGGACAGGTTCGAATTTTGTATGTTTCATTTTAATGTCAACTCACTTAACATATGCACCTGTTAATCAGAATAATGCAATATTATTTTGACTAATATGTATATAATATTCTCTAGGAATGTTTATCAATTTATTTGCGCAATTTAATGAGCAACAATAAAAAATGATCAATCTTAGAACTGAGCGGAAAAGAAATTCATTCCCAATAATAATATGCAAATTCTAAAAAATTTTAAATCTAAAATTTGGTCATTTTTTACCATTGCAGTGTATAATTCTATAATATATTGAAGATTATCTATATTGGAAGTAAAATTTCAGAGTGCTGGACAAAAAGATTATATCGTTCATCTAGCAAAAACACCACCTCCGCTTGGTAAAAATGTAGTTGAAGAAACATTGATTAGTTCTACAACTAATACTCAACAAGATTCTACTGAAAGTTATATTAAATCAGTGAAAGATATACCAGAAAATTGGGTTGCAGATCATGCAAAACATGTATGTCAACATTTATATGTTTAATTAGAAGCTAAAATGTTAAACATTTTTTATTTCTGTATTAATATGTTAATTTAATTTAAAGGTTACAAGAATGTTACCTGGTGGAATGCAAGTTCTTGGTACATTTATTGTTGGTCCAGAAGATGCCTTGAATAATAACACTAATATACAGAAGTTTAGATCTATTCTTGCAGCAATTCAGAAAAATTTATCATATAATAAATATCTTTGTGGAAATAGTAATGAAGAGCATCTTATCTTAAGTTTAAATAGCATTACTCAAAAATATACTTGTAAATCTGTGGAAACTAATAAGACTGGGATGTTAAAACCAACAGAATGGAAATTTCAAGCAAAACCAACGAAATGGCATCAGCTTGAAGCTCTTGTAGATTTCGATCGTTTATTTCTTATTGCTGCTGATAAAGATCCAGAAACCCTTAAAAAACAACTACAGGTATTGGTTGTGTAAAACAGACATTGTTCCAATATTTATATAAAATGCATACATTAAAAAATAACAGGATAATTCAATTTTACAGGATATTTTAAAAAATGTATCAAATGTAATTGAATCTTCTCTTATTGTCATCGAAGGAGAAATTAGATCATCAGAGGATACATTGGAAACAATTAATAAGAACAAAAATGGTGATAAAACATGTAAAAACAATGAAAAAAATGCTAATGATAAGCTTATACAGGTTGATTTATACATTCCATGTGTAAGTATTTGTATCTACTGCTGCTAATAAAATTAATGGCTTTTAAATTTTTTAATGATATTATTCTATAAAATTTTAAATATTAATTAAAGTATTTTTACCAAATGCATTAAAATTACATTATGACTCATTACATAGATATAACACAATTTATTTTGTGGATTATTAGCAAGAGAAAGATATTAACTTGGATATAAGGACAAAGCCATGCAGTGCATCAATACGACTTATAGGACAATTAGTGAGTAGAACTTTTGTTCATCAGAAAGCAAATATCGAAGAAGCTAACACAGCAATAAAACAAGATATTATAAGATCCTTAGCAAGTAGATTAGAAATGCATTGGGATAGTTTAATTGAGGAAGAAAATGGATCTCCAGAAGGTACATTTGATAAACTACTGAAGAGATGTGTGATAAAATATTTATCCATTTTCATATTTAATTTTAGAAAATATAACATTACACGAACCTCCAAGAAGAGTATTAATAGCATTACCAGAAAGTAAAATAACATTATCAGACTACTTGTTTCCTGGTGAAGGACCTCAAGAAGCCCTTTTATCATTACAAGAACTTCTTGATTTAGAAGTTCAAGAAAGTAATGTTCAAAAGGATATAGAGCTCCAAGCCGGTAAATATTATATAACTATACATAATATAAATAATTATATATTTTGATCATATACTGTAATACATGTTTGTTAAACAGATCCTACAGAATTTTACTGTCAAAGCGAAATTGATCTGAAACCAACCGATCTTAGTAAAGATACATCTGGAAGTTACAAAGCTAGAATATATTTCACAGGTTTCAGTATTGCAATTTTAATTGTGATTCTTTCTATCATAATACATAATTTTATTAATATGAAGTCGGATGTATAAAAAGTATGGGTTTATGTTGAACTTCAAAGTATAGAATCTGAACATGGCAAAGATGATAAATAAATGTGATATTATCATATGCATATACTTATATACATTAAAATTTTGAAAAAGCACGTTGTTTGTAAATTATTCTGTAAAAGTATTAAATTATTGATATGTACTATAGAAGATATAAATGTTATAAATACATTACATATTAATTATTTCATTTAAATATTTTATGTTACGATTAAATATTTTTGTAAGTGTTTACAATGGATTAAAACAAATGATTGAATAAAAAGAATCTTTATATGTTCAAAATAACTTCCTTAAAATTGAAGACTGTTTAAGTAGGTATAATTTGATATAACATGTTAATATATTTTTAACTTTAGTATATTATTTTAATATAATAACATCTACACAATATATACATAGAGTATCATACACGCATATTATGTACAAAAAGGCAATACTCCCAAAATCAATATAATGGCAAACCTTATAAGATAAAATGACAGCAGCGTCGTTTCTTTTTTTTTTACAATAATTATATAAATAATGTTTACTTCCTGATTACATTAAATTAAATAATGACATGCGATGTTGATACACGAGTTATTCGTAAACTAGGCAGTGGTACTTATATTTTTTAAATGCTTGGTACAATTCACATTCCTTTAACGAATTTTTTAAATACTTGCAAACCTGTACTAAAATTTATAAAAATTCCTGTATTTACAAAATTCTTTACACTGTACATAGTAAATTGAGTAAAATATATAATATTTGACCAATATGAAAAATTAAAATCAAATAATAGTCCATAATTAGCTCATAAAAGTTCTATCTTTTAGCTGTAACATTTCAATGTTAAATTAAAACTTAAACATAGAATTTATTTTCCTTGGAAGTGAAAGTTGTTAGTTTAATATATTTTGTTATAAAAATGAAAGAATTGGAGCATGTGTTAACAAAAAAAAAAAAATGTATAAATTCATATTAGAACAATTAAGTAGTACAATTTTCTTAACACACGTATCTTTTGTATAATTATTTATAATATTAAGAATATCATAGTAGGTAAGTCACCATATTTTCATAATCTTTCGTTTATACATAACTGTTACATTGCAAGTAGAGAATATTCTCATTTACTAAGTTCACATGATGAAGAAAATTGATGTAAATGGCTGGAATGGAATTAACAATGATAAATGTAACGAATAAATAGTGCAGATTAAATAAAATAAATATTAAGGTCTTATCAAATTTTCAATTAATATAAAGTTATATAAATGAAGTTATACAAATTGACTGCAAACCATGTAACAATTACATCTTATACTATTTTTGTACATCATAAAGTACATGATTAATATTGAATTTCAAACAAAATACATGATTTAACCTGCACTATTCTGAATAAGCGTCAGTGATTTTAAAAATTGATGAATCTAATTAGATAAAAAGTGTAAGTTTAATAATTATACTGCTCCCATCTTTATAAGCCCTGCTTGACTTCCTCTACCAACACTCGCGTCTTCCAACGAATCTAAGTCTAAAGCAGATTCTATCATAGTGGTATCTTGTAACAATCTAAGTCTGGATGCAGACAAAGGTGTTGTTACCGTTACCGAAGGTATAGAGGACGTATCCAACGTGGACGAAACCACAACACTTTGCCGAGGAGGTAGCGGAGCAATTTCATCAATATCAATTGGAGCTATATTAAGTGACGCTAGTGGTACTTCATTGGTAACAAGTTGGCTCACACTGTTCGTGGTGCTACCTAAAAACAAATTTCTAACAATAATCACATAATCTAAACGATTTGAAATTTATATACATTTCATGTATAATGTACGAAAAATATTAGAACTTCAATAATTGGTATTAAACTTCCATGAAAAGCCGTTATAAACGCTCATTAGCAACAAAAAACTATATTATGCAACTCATTGCAAAAGTGCAGCACTGGCTGTGTATCTTTGTTGCATGAAAAAATAAACTGACACTACACTGCAATAGGTAAAATAAATGTCCCAGGCATTGTGTCATATAAATGCATTTCCTATCCATACAAGTGTCCAATTAAAATAGTGAAAAGTGACAATGAAAAAGTTATGTACTAATTGTCTTGCAATGTATGTCATTTTTTGTATTAACATACAGATATAAAATTGTAAAATATCCTTCTAAATTTATACATTAAATATGTGCGTATTTGTTTGTACATTTACAAACATATGTATATTTATATACACGTATTTTCATGATTCCAGTGCCCATAATAAAACTCCAGATAATTATAAACTAATAAATTAGTCACAATCCATAAACCTTTGAATTGATATAACATTCTAAAATTAGTGTCTTTAAAAGTGTCGGAAATACACATTGAGTGTAAAGTGTTTATTGACAGCTATTAATAAATACCAATTCATTCATATTAAACATACACACAATAATGAATGGAATAAAACAAAATTAACTTACCAAACGGTATGCTCTGAGCCCTCGATAACAGGACGTAATTTTAAACAACAAAGAAATACAATTTATTCAATCATGTAGAAATATGATTAAACAATAAAGAATGTAAATCTATATGCATAATAATCAATCAGATCTACATCTAGATTAATTTACCGTATTAAAGATTAGTATAAAAAATAACTCATGAAATTAAATATAGCACATATCACTAATACAACCGTTCTATAAAAGCAAGTAACTATGTTCACATATTAGTATTGAAAACTGCAATGAAATTAACAGTTCAGTCCTTTTTTTCAGTCAAGATATATACCACGATAACAAGGATATTAACATCTTCTTTCTTTTTTTTTAAAAAAAATATCCATGTGCTCAGTACCAAATTGAACAGTCGAAAAATAAATAAATCTCTGTTGATAACAATCAAATTCAACTTGAATGTGTTTCATTCATAAAGATTTGTATAAGATATAGCACGATGAAACATGAACAACCATGATAATAGTAATTATCTTTGTTAATGTTACTAATATATGTATATTATCTTATATATCATTATTTTTGCTAATATACATACATATTTAAAGGTTGGTATATTGTAAGCTACTAATAATGAACAATTAAAACATTAAAACTTATGTTATTTTGATTTTAACACGCTAAAAGAATTTTCCTAATAAATACTCTATGGCCGTTTATCCAAGTTTCGTTTCAATAGCTATATTATTATTTTTAAAAATGCAGTTATTATGAAAAATATTAAATATCATCATTGTCACTCATTGAACTCATGATAAATCTACGATTTAAAAGATCTTCTTCAGTACCGTCGCTAGGACATAAAGAATTTTCAGCATAAGAGAAAGTATTGGTCAATGGTCCTGAACCAAATCTGTTCACTGCAAGTCCAATTGCAGCTTGGCCAATAATTGGCATCCCCCCAGCCCCTAATATTCGAGACATAACAACAGTCGGCAAAAGATTCTTTGATATCGGATATTTTAATCCATGAACAGTGCATCTTAGATTATTATACTTAAGAGTTTGCTGAGACTGAGAAATTCGTAATGGATCTTCCGAATAGCATTGCGGGAATTTTTGAAGATCAGTATAAATACTTTTATCATCGACTTTATGCCGTATCGGATCTTCAGAGTACCTTTGTGGATACTTTTGAAGATCGATACCGTATTTCTGATCACCGACACACTGATCATATAATAAATTATTATCCGAACATCTGTGATACTCTTCTCTACACCTGTGAGGATATTTATGTATATTTTCCTCGCATCTACATGGATATTTTTGAAAATCTGGATTTCCCCTATCAGTATCATATTTTATATGTTTTACAGAATCCTGAAAACAATGCTGTAGGGGATATGTTGGAACGTAAGTATCATTGATATATTGACGTGGGTACTTCGGAAGATCCTCGGGGTAACGGATAGTATGCCTTAAAAGGCTTAACTCACCGTTCATCGATTCAATTTGTGGCGAATGTTGACCAGAAACGAGATTGTTCATAGAACCCGTAAGATCTGGGCTAGGATTTGCCTGAACAGTTGCTCCATTAGACTGCAACGATAAAAAACAAAAGAATTTTATATAAATAAAAAATATACATGGTGTGAGTAAACTAATGTAAATTCAATAAACATCCAAATACCTGTGGTTGCACAATTTTCACTGTACCATATGTTTTATTATTAGTAATCACACTATCATCGCTAACTTTTTCTTGCTCTGCACGGTATTCGGGTGTTACTATACCTCTTCGATCTACAAAAATCGATAGTTTCGCGTTAAATAGTGTTTGCGTTTACAGAAACCATGCCGGTAAAAATGAAATGAAAAATTACCAATTAAACTAGGCGGTGCTGGTCCACACAATACATAGAAACAATTTCCACAAATATTTCCTTGACTATAAGGATTAAAACTTTCTTGCCCTCTTTTAATGGAAAATGATCCTTTAATCTAGAAATGACAATTATTTTGAAACTGCCTTAACATTTTAAAATTATGTAGTTGACAATTTTCAATTTTACAATACTTACATCTTCGTTAGTTGTCTGATTACTAGTAGTTAAATATGTATGAAAACCAGCAAGGCCAAGAATACTCCAAATAGAGAAAAAACATATAACTCCTACAATAACACTTCCAGGAGTTAATCTTACTGCTTCTAGAAATGGTCTATCATCTCTTGTAACTATAATCATTAATTTAAGGTCAAATTATAACTATTTCTGAGTTACTCTCCAGTTTTTGAATTGATACTTACGCATTATCAAATGTGTAACGGCACATGCAAATATAAAAACACAAAGAAATGCCAAGGACACAATAAAAGCATAAAAATATCTGTAATTTCTTCTACCAACACAATTTCCAACCCAAGGGCAATGGTGGTCAAACCTCTCTAAAATGATAATTATATTTTTGTATATTCATAAAAGTAACTTTCGTAATGAGTAATTAACAAATATACATACCTACACAATTGTCACATAAACTACAATGTGAAGCCCTTGGCGGTCTAAATATTTTGCAAGTGAAACAATATTTTAATTTTACAGGCTGTCCTTTTACTAATACCTCTTTTGTCCTAGGTGGAGGTCTGTACATTTTAGAATTACCATTATTTGGTACCTCTTTAGCCAACATGTAAAAAGATAATTTTTATTAATTTTAATACTAAATAAAATTAGTTAAAATTATAACATTATGAATTTTAAAATTATGTATTTATTTTTCTTATATTTCATATGTACCAATTTGTTTTTCAATATAGGCAGCTTCATCAGGTGTTGCCCTTGGAATAACCCCAGGATCACTAAAACTTGTTCTGAACAATGCAGACATTACAAAAATAAACAATAAACCACCAATAACTGGTATAGCAGGTGTTATATGAATTGCTAAGAATGGACAGCTAAAAAAAAGTATGAATCTATTAAAATTTTGTTCTTCTGATATATATGCATAGAATTATAATTACAAAAAGATTATCTTACTCAAAAGCAAAAAATAATCCACTTGTTCCGGCAATGAGACACACAGTCACATAAAAGACTCCAGTTTGAGGTGCCATCATTACTCTACCATCGCAACAAAATCGATTCCTACCAGGGAAAAGTTCCCATTTTCGTGTAATGTGTGGCATCTTGCAGAAGTAAACAGACTACTTTACGCGTCGTTCATATATACAAGTACATAATGCCCAATTTGCACCGCATGATTCATTAGGGCCATACAATCTTTACTTAATGCAAGCATCCAAAAACTTGGATGATCATATTTCATTTTGACTTACTGTTCTGTTTTTCACTAAACTGTAATAGATATTATGGACAATGAAATTAGCAATGAAAGATATTCTTTATAAATACTTGAATCTCGAATATCTACCGTCTAAATAATTCATAAACACTTTATTTTAAACAAATAAAAACTACTTTACCATGCAAATGTAACTTTTACAGCAGTTGAAGAAAATTGTACACCTCTCGTCAACTTAACCTAATTGCTCTGTTTGTTGAAAATACAATGAAATTCATATTTTGTAAAAATTCGCATTTTCAGGAAATCGAATGCATTCGTTCCCTATCTTTTATGTTCTAAAAACAGCCATGAACTCACTTTCGAAACATTATCGTCACTGTCTTACAAGGAGTACCGATTTCGAAAATGTTCACAAGATCATAATTCAAGAAAATCACAAGCAAAAATTCATGTATAAACTAGGTCAGTTTAATATGACATATAAACACTTGTGTACTTTCGATATAACCTTCAAATCCACAAAGTACATTATGATCTGGGAAGCCGTGGCATCGTTTTGGTCAATCGACCTTAGTCCGATGACAATAGCGTATGTATTTACAAGGAAAGATTGTTGGCCGTTGTGTTTGCTCAAGATTATCCGTGGTTCCCTCTAACGGAGTATGCAGAAGCGCCACGTGATCCTATTGCCACGTGATCTAATACAAAACTAATTTTGATTTTAAACGCGAACACTTATTAAAAAGTTACAGATAAAACAATATCACTACTTTAGACATATAAGAATTACATTTTCAGTTGTAAGAGTTTACAAAATTGTGCGGTACATCGAAAATATTTCGAAGATTCTAAGGAATAAATTATTTAAAGACGTCTTAAACAATGTTACAAATGTTTCAACATAATGTTAAAGACAAAGTCATATTAAGAGAAAAAATAATATCTATACAAATTATTAGTTTTGAGTAGGAAAGAATTATAATTCATTTCGAATAGATAAGATTGATTATTTAACAGAAGGAGGGTGTACAACTTATTGCTCCTATTACAAAATGGGTCGTCGACGCAATGCAGTCATCGTCACACGTACACCTGCACACATCGAAACAAAATCTTGAAAATCGAAGAATCCCACTATGAACGCCATCTTCGGGTATAATCAGGAACAGATCCGTGACGATCCTAACATTTTGCTGCACATACAGATGCATTAACCTTATAATATCACTTCCAAGATCTATAGATCTCGTGCATTTTTTAATGACATTTATGCCACTGTAATATTGGGGAATGATTAGCAAATAAAAGGGAAGTATTGTTTATTAAACTATATAACATAAGTGAAAAGCATATTCTGGTCGAAAATTTACGATTTTCATTATTTCGTCCAAAGAAAGATTTTCTGTGAACTTGCATTTTTTATGAAAGAAAAAATTGCATTGATCAAAAAGGTTAAATTATTGTAGTAAACAAATCATTTGTTCGAAAACATGAATGCAATTTGAATGATAATGCGTTCGATCGAATTCTAAGGTCATCAAAGTTCATATTGTGAATTATACATAGATACGACAAATTTTAAAATTCTAAAATTTATCATCAAACATATCAGGAATTTTGTGTTTTATATTATAACGAAAGAACGTTTGGTACGTAACTTGCACTTCTGATAAAGATTAGTATAAGCGAAAGAATTCTCCAACGCCTAAGTTCGATTTCAGGGGATCAGATGAGAAAATAAAAAATTTGTAATTTTTCAAACTTTCAATTAAAATATTTTGGAATTTTCGAAATTTTTTAATTTCTGCATTTTCAAATATTCAACTTTCTATTTTTCCAAATTCTCAAATTTTTAAATATATAAATTTAATTTTTTACAAATTTGAAAATTGATCTCAAAAAACCTTTCCTTAGAGAAGGCCACTATACTCGTTATCATATATTAATCATTAGACAGCAAATCACTGACAAGGCGGCAACGAATTAAAATTTCATTTTTTCAAGTTTTGAATATTCTAATATATTAATAATATAAGAAGTTCAATGAAAAATTCGTACGCCTAGCTTTAACCGAAACACTGTTATTGAATAGGTCTGGGTCACGATTGACCCGTCTTTGGCGTCCGAGGGTTGACGAAAGAGCTTAGTTAAAAGGTTTGCGAAAAGAGACGCGAAGAAGAGAGAAATATCAACAGGCGTGAAGCCGACGTCAGGATTGTCGTGTAGGAAGCAAATGGAGGGACACGGTGGTCGGCGGCGTCGGTAGCGGAAAGAATCGTGAAGGGTCACGTTTAGTCTCGTCCGTACGGCTTAAGGTAGTAGCTGGCGAGGTGATTTCAGGGTGGGAGGTTGAACGAAGCTTGGAACATCGCGGAGGGTGTGGGGGAGTGGCGGGTCGTATGCGGCGGGGTGCACGGGTATGAATCGTGGAGCGGGCGGATGGACGGACGGACGCAAACGCTGAAATCAGCTCGGGCGATCGATGCGATAAATGGATGCGTGCGATTGGTAGCCGGGAAAATCGATGATGAACAGGGGGGCACCCTACCTAGCCGCGAAAGCGAGCACGGCTGCACCGCCGGAGAGGATGGAGCAAAGACCGAAATATCGATTTTTAGGCCCCTACGCGGCGGTTCGATGCTCATATCTGCCCCGTGTCCCGTATCCGCGCGAAGCGCCTTTCAAAACACCAACGACGCGTGCCAGACACACTGTGTGGTGCCGCGGATCTCGTCGAGGATTATCGTGCGAATTAAAATACGTGAGAGAGAAGCCGAGTGACGTGTACCAAACTTCTGCCCGATGTCGTCAGGTAACCACGTTGCGACGCGGTAAAACGCTTCGCGGACAAAGAGACTCTTTCTCTCGTTGACGTTCGTGCGACCAGTAATATCGTGCAACCGTACGAAACGATCAATGATCCTCGACCAACGAAATGATCTATACTCTCCGTGTGCGTCGATAACGTTTCCTCCCGCCTGACGAGTTTTTTCAACGACGAAAAACAGTTGTGTACAATGTGTTTAATCGTCGAACGAACGTCAACGGGCACTGAGACGAGGGTGTGAATTTCGTTACAGGGTTGCGAGAAGAATGCGTAATTACTTCATTATCGTTATCGAATCAAGCTGCAACGTAAATCGATCGAAAGGATTTTTCGTAGTGATTATTTTCTTGTGTCTTGCGGAACATCGTAAAGAACTGCGTTGAGAAAACGCTCGGACGCCGCGGACTGGCATCGATCAAAGGGAAGAAAGATTATTGTGCACCGTTCCTGAACGAACATTGTTGCCGTGAAAATCACTAATGATCAGTGATTGTTTGTTTATGTATACATAGAGTGACCAATCATACCGATTAAAAAATTCTAAATTATTTCTGTCGAAATAATCTTTGACAGTTATTTTTAAATTAAGTGTAAAGGCAATGCAAAATTATTTAAACATTATTTCTTTTTGTTTAAAATTAATTCTTAATAATTAAAATTATTTTTCGGTTAATTGAAGACTACACATAGGGTGAACATTTATTTTCGCGGTGAATTCAGAACAGAATTAAAAAACGTTTGTGAATAACTCGTTGCCGCAGTCGGAAAGTGTACGTCAATTCGAATTATGAACAGGGGGGCACCCTACCTAGCCGCGAAAGCGAGCACGGCTGCACCGCCGGAGAGGATGGAGCAAAGACCGAAATATCGATTTTTAGGCCCCTACGCGGCGGTTCGATGCTCATATCTGCCCCGTGTCCCGTATCCGCGCGAAGCGCCTTTCAAAACACCAACGACGCGTGCCAGACACACTGTGTGGTGCCGCGGATCTCGTCGAGGATTATCGTGCGAATTAAAATACGTGAGAGAGAAGCCGAGTGACGTGTACCAAACTTCTGCCCGATGTCGTCAGGTAACCACGTTGCGACGCGGTAAAACGCTTCGCGGACAAAGAGACTCTTTCTCTCGTTGACGTTCGTGCGACCAGTAATATCGTGCAACCGTACGAAACGATCAATGATCCTCGACCAACGAAATGATCTATACTCTCCGTGTGCGTCGATAACGTTTCCTCCCGCCTGACGAGTTTTTTCAACGACGAAAAACAGTTGTGTACAATGTGTTTAATCGTCGAACGAACGTCAACGGGCACTGAGACGAGGGTGTGAATTTCGTTACAGGGTTGCGAGAAGAATGCGTAATTACTTCATTATCGTTATCGAATCAAGCTGCAACGTAAATCGATCGAAAGGATTTTTCGTAGTGATTATTTTCTTGTGTCTTGCGGAACATCGTAAAGAACTGCGTTGAGAAAACGCTCGGACGCCGCGGACTGGCATCGATCAAAGGGAAGAAAGATTATTGTGCACCGTTCCTGAACGAACATTGTTGCCGTGAAAATCACTAATGATCAGTGATTGTTTGTTTATGTATACATAGAGTGACCAATCATACCGATTAAAAAATTCTAAATTATTTCTGTCGAAATAATCTTTGACAGTTATTTTTAAATTAAGTGTAAAGGCAATGCAAAATTATTTAAACATTATTTCTTTTTGTTTAAAATTAATTCTTAATAATTAAAATTATTTTTCGGTTAATTGAAGACTACACATAGGGTGAACATTTATTTTCGCGGTGAATTCAGAACAGAATTAAAAAACGTTTGTGAATAACTCGTTGCCGCAGTCGGAAAGTGTACGTCAATTCGAATTTAAGATATCGATTATTTTATTAAAAAGTAATTTTAGTTATTGACAGTTCATTTTAAATAGAAAGAAAAATATATTTTACAGGAATTTATTATTGTCTATGTTTAGCAATTCTACATTATATTTCAACTAAAATTCAAGAATATTTTTTGTATTTATTTCAGATAAAATTTAATTATAATTTCTTAGAAATCTACTAGCTATACATAAATATTGGTCCTCTCTAAATAATCTTTATTTTCATATCGAAATTATCGTGCAAGTAAATGGTTACCTTAATTTACATATAAATTATTAATAATAACACCGGGAATAATAATATATGTAGAATATACTTCAGATTTATTGTTACAGCTCTATTACTACGAATCATTGTGAATTGTCAATATTATAATATATAGTTAATTCTAATTTAGATGTAACAGTTCATTTACGAATGTTGACGAAGTTCTAAAATCCTTTCATTGACCGTACGATGCAGCGAATTACGTACGAGAACACGGTCGATGCAACAGGCTCATCATTGGGACATTAATATTGAAATGCTTATATGTTCACTGTTGTTTAACGAGAATTAACTAATCATTGTTTCTGTTGTTAATATAGAAAAAATGGCTATTGCCGCTTCAGAGAATTATCAACTCAAGTGGCACAGCTATGGCGCGCATCTGCATAGCTCCGTCGCGACGTTACTTCATTCAGAATCCTTCGCAGATGTCTTGTTAGCAACGTCCTGCGGCCGGCACGTGGCGGCTCATCGATTTGTCCTTGCCGCTTGCTCGTCGTACCTCAGTCACATTTTTCAGACGTGTCATTTCGGGGCAAATACGAACGCTCCGATAATCGTGGTTCGTATACTCGATCTTCTACAGATTATTCAATGTTCACATAAATAATGAGATAAAACATTATGTGCATATTTCAGGTACTACCAACAGAAATTGGATATCGTACGTTAAAAATCCTGATCCAATACATGTACAGTGGAGAAGCTACTGTAACAAACGATCAGCTAGAGGGTGTTTTAAAAGCGGGCGATATATTGCGTGTTCGCGGTTTATGGAGATCCAATACAGGAAGTAAAAAAGAGAATATACAATCGAACAACCAGAAGGTAGATCGAGACAAACGAGAACAACCGTCTTTAACCGGTCAAATTCAAAAGATCAAACTGGTACAACCGGCCACGGAAAAGATCGTTGAGAACGTGCAACAGAGTACACCGGTACAAAATAACGTTCAACCTCAGAAACCTACCTCAGAGAGAAAAAGTATCGAAAAAGTCGAGGAGAAAATTAGCGAGCCAGAAACCAAAAAGGTGTTAGAAGAAAATAAGAACAATGAACAAAATAAGAATAAGGAGAATCTGGAAGCGAACGGAAAGAAAAGGAAAACCACCAGTAGTGACGTGGAATCTAATAAATCCAAAAGCGAAGACGGTGAAAACGTAAGAGACAACTTGTTTAGTAACGATATTTTAGCGAATGTAATGAAATTATTGTGTTTTACGTTTCAGACCGAGTTAAACTTGGAGCTTTTAGTAAAAGACGAGCCAATCTGGGAAGAAACCATTGATCCATCGGAATCATTAACGATAGACCATGAGATCGATATTAAACCGGTATGTGATCTAATCGAAACATTGATCTTATGAAATAAATGTATGCCATGTCAACGACTAATTTTCACAGGAAATCGTACACAGCGCAGACGAGGAAGAAGAATACACGCCATTAACGTGTGATATGTGTAGTCAAACGTTTAATCGACCATCAGACTGGGTGAGACATATTGAATTTACGCACGCTGATATGACTGAAAATCGAAGAAAAAAGAGGAAGGTAAGAATACAAATATTTGATATTTTGAATATTAAATGATAATATTGTATAACTTACGATAGGGTGATGTAGACGACGATAGCAAAGATTTTCCACCCTTAAAGTGTGATCTTTGTGGTAATATGTACTCGACGCCTCAAGAATGGGTTCGTCATATACAAACAGAACATACGGAAGAACAATTAGCTTTAATGAATAACTCAGCACCTCCTAGACCAAAAAGGGTTCACAGTCATCAAAAATTGTGTAACATTTGTCAAAAGGAATTTCCAAGCCATGCATCGATGGTGATCCACCAAAGAACGCATACAGGGGAAAAGCCTTTTCTTTGTTCCTATTGTAAAAAAGGCTTTAACGTAAAAAGTAATTTACTAAGGCATCTAAGGACATTGCATGACAAGTATGTACATCCTAGCTTATATGGGAGTAATGGTAACACGAATGCTTAAGTCTCTTTGATTTTCAATTGTACATGTTCTTTTTTTCTTGTTAATATCTCATTTGCAAAGTAAACGTCACGAAACATCTTATACTTTTAGAATTATGTTTACAGACTGAAGGAGTAGTGTATGCATCGATAATCTTGCATAAACATGTCAAATTGGTCCAAACAATTAGACACTACCGATGTTCGTGGCATCTTTGAAAATGAGCAGGTATTAAATGCTTAATACGTTTCATCGAATTCAAACGAATAATTTTAATATTCTCCACTTATATTAAAATTGTGTAATTATATATGTATCGATATGAATACGCATTTATCATTTATTATGTGGATAAACGTTTGTTTTTTTTTTTTTTTGCAAATGCGAAATTGTTCTGTTAAACACAAAAGCAATATCAGGGCTTTACAACCAAAGAGGCTGATCACTATTGCCAAAGTGTATTGTTTCGTTGCGACTTTGATTCGTTCTTTAAACATAGAACAGAATACGAAAAATATTTATTTTAATTAAAATATTGATTTAAGCGTGTAAGAATAAGAAATGACGATATACAGGTCTTCGCATACGAGCGTGTAAAATAATTCATAGTATAAATCAACATCTATTGATTAATATTTAATTACTTAGTAACTATACGAGATCCAAATTATGTAAGATTTAACTGTATACTTCTAGGCTATTCCATCCAAGGTAGCCCTCTTATTCCCTCAGCTCGTAAGCTAATTATGTATTTTTATATTAAACTAGCTTATACACAAAAAGTATAAGAAATAAGATAATTAAAATAAGTAAAAACTTTCAACTTCGATTAGGCTAGGATATAAGGGATAACACGTAATTCAAAATTTATCAAATGTTTTGGAAATATATTGAGTTCTTCTTACATATAAAAGATGCAATATTATCAAAACATTGTCACAGTTTAAACGATAACAATATAAATCTTACAAAAATGACACTACATTACCATGTTAATCATGATCGTGTCACTACTATGAATCTTAGTGTCAATTCTACGTTGCGCTAATACTGTGACGAGCCAAATGACTTTTAAATGTAAAATTTAAATATATTACCTTCAAAGTATTTTAATTATTCTTAATCATTCCTCGATAAATATCAAAATATACCTCTTTTAGCTGAACAACATTATCGCTCTGTATTCAATAATATTTCAAAAATACTTTGTTCCTAGTGATGTGATAGTTACAAAAATCAGTTGTCTTCCATGAAATTAACTGTCGCCATGATACACTGTATGAGTGATGTTGTAACTTATAAATCAAAAAAAATTCTAAGAATTTTAATTTTCTTCATCATCATCAATTTTTGGAGCTAGGTAATATCGAATATGCCCAATATCTCCAATTTTGTATTCGCATACTAAGGGCACATCATTAGACATTGATAACTGTACTTGAGCACAAAGGGGTCCAGCCTTTATAAAACAATTAAGATAACGACATGAAAAAGTTAACTTTACTGGTTCTTGCATATTAACAACTACTGCTTCTTCTTCATTATCGGCATCTGCTGTTTGTGCTAATTTAATAGTAGCTGAAAGAAGTAGTTTACATAAATACATATAATTACAATTTATAATAATGTGAATTGTACAGATTTATTTTTACATTTTGCAATACACATTTTTCAGAATTGACTTGTAATTTAATGACTTTCACTATATGAAGGTACATGTCCTATAATACAAAACTATAAACAGATACACATATGACCTCTTGTTTATAATAACAAGGTCAAAATAAGTAAATACTTTCTAGGACATTACTTAATTTCAATCAGTTGCTACGTAACTGTTGTGCTTGGAAGAATCCTAACAGTAAAATGTTACAGAGGCAAGCCAACTATTACACTCTCAATGTGAGTATATACATATATATATTATTTAAACTAGTAAAATGTAAATAAGTAGATTATATTATATGATTATAATATATATATCCTATTTTGTTCATATGAGAAAAAAAATTTACATACCTTGCCCATAATCTCCAGAAGCACTGAACTTTATGCCCTCTTTAGAACATGCAAACGTTATTGATTCTCCAAACTGACTTAAATCTCTGCAAATACGGGAAAACTCCTGGGATGGCATTTTTACAACACATGAATACGAGGTTTCCTATAATAGTTAACAGATTATATACAACAAATTATTTACAAGAAAGCTTTAGTTCCAAATAAATTTCATTGTATAATACTGCATAAAGAGTCTTACAGGAATACCAAGGTGTTCCTGATCCATGTTTATAAGTTTCATTTCATATTCGGCAAGTTTTTCTTTATTCGGTGATTCAAATATAAATACAATATTTTCTGGATTATCCAATGCCCTTAGAGTCACTGTATCTTCTGTGCCAGCACATCGCAGAATTTTGGACATACTACAAAAGTATGACATGTTTTTATTCACTATTTAAAAATGATGTCAAACAAACTATTTCTGATAAAATATAGAAACAACTATTCTCTTTATATAGTACATTTGTCTTTTGTTAAAAAGACATAACCTTTGCAAAATTAACATTGAAATTACAATCTTACCATGCAATGCTCATCCCCATTGATAAATTTCTATCACATCTGTATTTATCAAAACCGTCACTTCTGAGATTAAGAGAAACCAAAGAAACATGAGCATTGTCCATAGCTTGAACCTGAATACCTGAATCAGAACATTCGAAGGTAGCTTCGGTTAAAAGATCTTTTATTGCATCTAACACCTTCTTCAGAATTGCACTCTGTACCAAACGTGCTTCGAACATTTTTTCGGATTATTTATTAAAATTTTCAAGCTGTAGAAACTAAACGGTGCAACAAGTACCGACACTTAAAACAGTTGATACACCAGTAAGGATACCCGCGCTTTGTTACCGCCGAAACGCCAGGAAGTAGATGGCACTTGTGATTACCGGAAATATAATTCAATTTTTAAATCAAATAACTATATACTTGTTTCAATCAAATAACTATATACTTGTTTTATTTGACTATAATCAAACGCTTTTACTTTATATAAATCGAAATCTTTTTATTTTACATAAAAAACATTTTTCCAATGTATCATGTTTGCAATATATATCAAAATTTGTTTCAAAGTCTTATTTTGGAAACACACATCATGACTGTACAAATTATAAACTCAAATTATTAAAAAAATGGGGATCAACATTTTTTAAGTAAATGTTAATTCTAATTTGATATTTGGAATGCACATTGCAACATCATAATTCGCTTTAAAACATTCAAATTAATATTAAAATTGCCTTTTTACAAAGTAAGTCGTAAAAAAATTTATATATGTATATAATTACTAATAATAAAGAAATGAAATGAATACGTATAAAAAAATTGTTAACTAAAAATACAAAAAATAATTTTAATTGTATTCACAATTTTTTACACAAAGGATTGTGTGAAATATTTAAGCGTAAAAATTTATAAAATAAAAACGTACAAGTACAAAAATATTTAAATACGACTCGATTACTGAATTACGTTTAAATAAATGCAGTCTCACTCTTAACACTTTTAAACTAGAGGTATTTACACATTATGCATGGTATTAAATCGTTCAAAAATCAAAGATTGATCAATACGGAAGAAATACAAATTCGTGAAATGTATTAGAATCCAATATCACCAGCCATATTTTCCAATTCGCTGAACATCTGGTCAAGATGCTGTAATAAAAATGATTAGTCAGTTTTATTTAAAAATTAATGTTATTTTTAATAATGATAACGAGTATATTTAAGTATAAAATTGCTAAGTAAATTATACGTACATCTGAGGGTTCATTATCTTTCGTGATTTCTTTGTGTTTGTCGTTAAATAAGCTTCCACTTTCATCCGTGTCTTCTATATCATTTTCTTCTTCATAATCATCTTCGTTATCATCATCGTTATCATCTGAATCGTCTACTTCTTCTTCATCATCGTCATCGTCATCATCGTCATCATCGTCATCTATGTCCTCATCAGATCTAATATTACAAGACATTTCCATTTCTTCATAGTCTTCTGGTTCCTCTTTGATTTCTGTGAGCATTATCGTTTCCCCAACTGATTCTCTGTTAGACGAACAAGGTGGAGGAGCTTCAGATGCTGAAGGTATTTGAGGTAATTGATCAGTCTAGAAAAGAGAATATTAATTTAGTCATCATTTATATATCATCGTGTACTGGATGATATTTATATATCATTACCCATGGCTGCTGCTGTTGTTGTTGCGCTGATTTAACCGACGCAATAGAGGTTGGTGTAGAAGACGAAGGAGATTGTAAATTTGTGTTTTGTTCCTGACTCTGAGACGATACTTTATTCTGTACTTTACTAGAATTATCTTGTAACCTACTTTCTACATCTGTATCTGATTTTGTTATATTTTTATCAACATGATTAGCTTTCTGTTCCTTTTTTACTTGTGAATTACTAGTTAATTCTTCTTTAACTTTTTTAACATTAGGCTTAGGTTCTCCAGGAAGACAAGTATTACCCCGCTGCCTCCTAAATCTAACAATAATACTTCTGGTATCCCACATTAAATCATGTGCTTGCTTATATGCAGATATAGATTCATCAACACTATTATATCGTATGAAAGCATATCTAAAAGTAAAATCAATACACTATAAGAATATATACAATTAATACATTAAAATTTATAAAGTAAATCTGATATACCGTGTATTTCTCATCTTCTGTGCATAGCCGACATCTACACGAGCAGCTGTAGGAAATTTACTTTTTACTTCGTTAACATTAACAGATTCTGGTAAATTTCCTATATATAATGTGTAAGGATCTATTTCCTCAGGCATTGGATTATCCTCATCTCTCAAAGATTTCCTTTCAACCTTTAAATGGCCTACCCCAAAAGGTATCTTTTCCAAGTCTTTTATAGCTTCGTCGATATTAACACTTTCTGCCATTTGTATAAAGCAGTATCTAGGACCACTGGGACTTTGAAAGTGTATATTTTGTATACCAGGATGAAATTCTCTAACAATATCTTTATTTAAATCAGGATCTGGAAACTTTATTATTAAACTCTGAGCTTTAACTGTTTTATTGTATTCATTTTCTATTTTTAAAGCTCTTTCTGCATCTTCTCTATTCCATGGTCGACTAGGATAACTTTGGGACATAGGTTTTCTTTGCTTATTTTTCTTAACTACAACTTCTTCCTAAAATAAACAGTAAGCCATGACATATAATTAATAAATAAAATTATTATCTTATCTTACCAACACAATTTTTACATCCTGATCCGATGTTTCTTCCCCGTGTCTATTTGTTAAAATCCCTGGAGGTATAGGAGGTAGAGGATGATTAGGAAGAGGAACAGGCATATGACTCATAATAGCATCACCAGTAGATGCAGTGTAATTATTTCTCTGCCATTCCAAACCAAGAGTATTACTCAATGTTGCGCCAAAATATGCTGCTTGATCAAACTGACCCTGAGATTGTCCAAACCGTGCAAGGCGTCTATTTTTACGATGAAAGTTACTTCGTTGAACATATATATTGCTTCTATTATGAGTAAACCTTTCACGTCGTATGTAGTTACCTCTTAGAGGCAGTTCTCTTTGGAACGTGTTTGTAGTCATGTCACGTGGATGTGGAGGTGGTAAAGGTGATGTTTGAGGTGTTATCCATTGCCATGGTGTAGGAGGATGTGTCCATGCTTGTATAGGTGTAACTTGAGAAGGCACTGGTCCAAATACATGGGGAGGTGGTGGAACACCAGTAGAAGGTGGAGGCATTGGAGGTAATGGTGGTTGCCCTGGCAAAGGTTGTGTGACAGTTGAAGAGGTTGAAGATGATGAAGTAAAAACAGGATAGGAACCTTCATATCCAAAATTAATACACTCCTGCTTGACAAAAGATCGCTTTGTTTCTCCATTTTCATCTGTTATCTGAAAATCAAAAAATTATGAATTAAAAATGAAAAGATGTATTAAAATTTAACTTTGCTTAAAAATTGTAGTTTAGCATCATTAATTTAATACTATAAACATTAAGAAAGTGTACGTATATGATAAATTCATATAAATATTTCAAACAACCGCTGTCAAACTAACCTTCCTTAAAAATACCATTACTGGAATAAATGTAAATATATTACTATTATTGCAAAATTATGAAAAATAAAGAAATGGATCTTTACCGAACGTTTCATAATGTAGAGAAAAGCGCTGATAATATTTAGAGAAAAATTACGTTCTCTAACTTGTAATGTAAATACATCATATAGGACTACGAGAGTGGTTAGTGTCAAACTGCTATCAACTGCTATACACACAGGACTACCAATCCTTATGCTTAACTTTTTATACTAAACAGACACTAAATATTATGAAAATAATTTATATTTATTTTTCTAACCATACATGGCATTGCGAAAAAAACGCTGAAGTTTTGTAATTGACTTTAAACATATAACATATTTGAATGATTAAAATATAATACATCCATTTCATGGAAGATCATACTCATCAAGCGACAAGTTTTTATTCACTCTGCGCATGTTAACTCTCTTCGTAACCAAGAACAACGTGACATGCGCGTTTGCGACATTCGTAACGCTATGCATACCAAGTGATATTTTATTTTCTATTCTACTTGCATTACTTCTTTTCCTTTCTATTCATATATTTTTATCCATCGTGTATATGACCAATGAAGAAGAAAGCGTATATTAACTAGATAACACTATATATATAAATAGTGGAGAATGTACTGAAGTTAGCCAAGATGAGAAATTGAGTACGGTTTTTCATTGAACTGAAAATAATATATTTATAATAATAAATATTCAAATAATCTGTATGTATCTGACATACATACGTTTATAATTTTTATACGAAATAATAAAAAATTAAATAAAATTATTAAATTAAAGGGCTAAGGGCTATACTTTTTAATTACTAAAGTAACAAAAGATAGTTCAAAGTTTTATTAGGATAAAATAATTGAATAAACATAAAAAGTAGGAAAAGAAACAAAAGCAATTGGTGTTGTATTAACAAATAAAATATGTTATGTTAAAAAGATTCCTTTAATATTGAAATATTATTCATCTATAAATAAGAAGATAAAGTAAAAAGTAGATACAAAATTATATACATTACCAAAATCGTGTAATTTATTTTTTAATTATAATATAACATAAGTAATGATAGTTAGATTTATTATTAAATTATTTTTTAATTTTGTTACAATAACTTTTTAACACATCGATGCAATTTCATATTTCTATCTTAGGGAAAGGAAATTTTGGTATAATAATTTTACCGACAGATGCCCTTACAGTTAGTTCGGTGAGTGAACATCTCGTGAATTTAGTTCGTGTGACATGGCTACGAATAATACAGAAGAAATTGAGGTATATTTTCTAAATTTTGTGTGGTACTATAAATACCACGAAAATAATATATTAGTTTTCTCAAGTACACATTTAATGTAAATATTAGAACAAAATTTTCACGATTTCGTTTAGAATAGCATCGTTGTTTTAGCACTCCCAATTTCTCCCATCTGTTCCCATGCATGGTAAAACCTGTCTAAGCTTAAAAAGACGTATTATATTTCTTCATCACAATGATTGAATGTATACTACATTTCGTGCAGTACTTTTTACATATCATTCATATGCATCAAGTTAATAAAATTAAAAAAATTTCTATGTGTAATCAATGTGCATAGGTTAAAAGGACTTGAATCATTTACAGGAAGTAGAGAGGAAGGAACAGGAGGTAGTGAATTTCGATGAATTTCCACCAGAGGTTCTAATTAAACATCCACTTCAACATACATGGACACTTTGGTATTATGAACCTGATAGAAATAAGACATGGGAAGAAAGTCAGAGAAAAATTACAAGCTTTGATACAGCTGAAGATTTTTGGAGGTAAATATATGGATCATCATTAATAATTTAATATTTCGTCTTGATAATTTATTGATTAATAAAATTTATGGTTCATGACAGCTTATATAATCATATAAAACCTGCATCAGAATTAAGACAAGGATGTGACTATAGCATGTTTAAACAAGGAATCAGACCCATGTGGGAAGATGATGCCAACAAAAGTGGTGGAAGATGGCTTATAAATTTAGATAAGAAACAGAGAAATGTAGATTTGGATTACTTTTGGCTAGAAACTTTGTTATGTATGATTGGCGAAGCATTTAATGGATATTCTGATGATATCTGTGGAGCTGTTGTTAATGTGAGGCCAAAAGGAGATAAAATTGGTGTATGGACTACAAACTCCAACAGTGAAGATAGTGTCATGGAAATTGGGTAAATTATAATATTCATATCTATCTGTATTAAAAATATTTAAAGATATGACATTGAACTATTAATTCTTTTTACAGGCGTAAATTGAGAGAAAGATTAAAAATTGCATCCAAAGTTATTATAGTCTATCAAGTACATAAAGATGTTATGGTTAAAGTAGGAAGTCAAACAAAAAATGCATATACTCTCTAAATACTATTTTAATGTCACGAAAATTGATCAAGTAACATTAAACATGCATTAATAATAGGAATATTATATAAAATTTGGAATACTATGTTAAAAATTAAGTGAAGATTCAATGGAAAGATTTTTAAAATTACATTTTCATTATAACTAAATATTTTCTTAACGAAAATCATTGAAAAACTCAATAAATGTATTAAAACGATTTATATCATAATAATTTAAAAGTTTATAATAATGTAATAGATAATTTAAGTTTAGAGTATAAAAAATACGCACAGGCTGCTGTATTTATAAAAAGAACAATTCAAGTATTAACATAAAAAAATGTAATCAAACTGTTTTCCCTATGTATGTTTCTCCTATGTTACTTGTACAAGCAACAAAGACTGCAATATTAAATTTCTTTGAAAAAGAAAAAACCTATGGAATTAGGTTGCCGTTTTTTAAATCCATAAAAATATTACAAAATACAGCAACCTAACTTGCTTTAAGATAGTGTAGTAATATTTAATATGTTCTCACGATTGTTTGAAAAATGATTATATTTAAGTTTTTCTTATAAATACATGAAAAATATAAAGTACTGTTTCTTCACGTTATTTCTTTTATTTTTGATTTTCCTTAAATACATTTGTGACGTTAAAACGAAAATCGTTGTTTAATTATTTCCTATGTAAATTATTTAATCTTTACCTTTATTTATTATAAATTTCTCTGCAAGTTCTTTAAGGTCTCTGCGTCTTGCCTTTTCCAATGCTCGTATTAAATTCAATTCCCAACTACCAGTATTATATTGAGATACATACAACTTTAAAGCCTACAAAAATATTCAAGTTGTACTTATGTAAAAACGTTTCTATGGAAAAAATATTTATTAATTGTATCTTACTTCCAAACTTTGTTCCCTCAAATTGCATGGATATTTACACTGAATTGCATCAATCTGGCATTCAGGAATATTTAAATATCGGGCAGTATCTCTCCAAGAACGACCAATTCTTTCACTAATTTGTAATAATACTACAGGCCAAATAATTTGCTAATTCACTATATAAATAATAACAAATATATTGTAAGAATCTTAATTTAAGCTTACATCTTTGTTGTAATAGTGCTTTCTCATCTAAAGCTGGATTTTGATTTTCTACATTGCTTTGTGATGCTTGACAGTTTGGGTCACTAGTAAGTACATTTGATTGTGATATGCTACTTTTTCTTATATTTGATAATTCTGTTCCATTCTTATCTTTATTTACTGTTGATAAAAATATGAAAATTATTATTAATACTCTTATTGTAAAAAAGTAAAATGAAAACTTACCATCTGTATTTTGATACATGTTAATAAGTGGAGCAGTTTGCATATTTTGTATATGAAGTTTATAATCTCCTATTTTTTTTTTTATTTCAAAGTCATTTAAGAAGTTACTTGAAATATAAGAAAGTGGTTCTATATTACTATGACTAAGGCAATCTCGTTTTTCCAACACATTCAACAACGTTCTTATATCTTTAATTTGACTAAATTTGCGATTTGAATTTATGTATTGTGTATAATATTTTTTAAGAACTTCTAACATGCCTTCAGTAATGTCAAATTGAGCAGCAGATAAGAATTCTTCACGCAAACAATCATATTTCATTTGTAATATCATAATGTCATCAAGGGAATTCCCTTTTTCTAAAGCAAACATCTTGATCAGTATGATCAATACCCAAAATATTCTTCAAATAAATCCTGAAAATATTAATTAATAGTTTAATATATTTCAATTCTTTAAAAATTTAATTGTATTTAAATAATATTAGTTTATTATTTTAAACATAAAGAATTTACCATAATACAGATAAATATTAAAGAACATATATGGCTGTAACATGCACTTATATTGGACAGTTAAATACTTATTTTGAAGTTGGTAAATGTAAAATTTACTACATATTTTTATTTGAAAAATATTATAATATAAATTTAAATTAAAAACATACTTACTCATATATATTTTATATAATGGACTCATAAAATAAAGACATTAAACTAACTTTTTATATAAATAATTTATTGATAGAACAAATAAAATTGAAATTAAAATACATGATTTTTACTAACGTTTAAATTATATACTTCGCATATATAAATTTTTCTTTCTGATTTATTCGACACGTATATGTCTATAAAATAAAATATATGTAACTAAATGACATTCAGGCCAATACGGATGAATTATTCGAGATACGCAAAAGAAGTATATTCTCACATTGTTGTATGTAATCAAAGACGTAACATTCATAGAAATATGCCTTACAGTTAATAGTCAGAAGCACGTTGACATGTTTTATTTGTAAAATTTATTTAAATAAAACTTATTCAATATGAATGAAAAGCAGAAAATACAATATTTGATTGTTGATACGAGTGCTTTTATTAGAAATGCAGCGTTACAGGTGAAATTTTCTTTAAAATACGAATAATACTGATGTATAGCTTTACTACACCACAATAATTTTCATATTATATTTTGTATTTATTTGCTATATTTACTTTTAATAAATAGCATAATAGTGTAATCATAAAAGTACATAATTTTCAGGATATTGGCGTTAATATAATTACAGAAGAAGATGTAGTGAATGAGGTTAAAAATAAAAGACAATTAAGAAGATTGGTTGTTCTACCATATGACTTATCAATACAACATGCACATTCTGAAAATATAAAATTTGGTAATAAAACTAAATTTTATCCGAATAATACCTCAAAACATTATGAATTTAATACTATATACATGTTATTATAGTTACAGAATTTTCCAAAAAAACTGGTGATTATGCCAGTTTGTCATCAACTGATATAAAAGTAATAGCGTTAACATATCAATTAGAAAAAGAAAAAGTAGGTGTAGATCATTTAAAAAGTGAACCAGCAGTAAAAAGAATTATAGATACCAGTGTTGAAAAAGCTGAGGATCTCAGTAAACCTTTAGCTGGCTTTTATATACCACAGAAGAAGGTAAATATACCTTTTTAAAGGTAACAAAATTATATTAAATTATTAATGTGTAAATTTTAATCTACAGGAAAACAATAATGAAGATAATATAACAGAACTTAATTCAGAAGAATTGCAAGAAAGCAAATTTATAGAAGATAATAGTAATAAAAAGATAGACACAAATTTGGAAAATAATGTAAAAGATATTGATGATGAAGAAGATTCAGAATCTTATTCCAGCGAATCTTTTAGTAACCCTGAATCAGATTATGAAACTGCAAATTCGGATATAGACAATAAAACAGAAGATTTATCTACTAAATTTTCAAAATTGAACTGTGAATTGACAGAATTTGTAGTCCAAGATAGTAATAATATTGTATATGATGTTGATAATGTTCTTGCTCCTATCAATGAAAATAAAAATGATAAAATAGAAAAGCATGTAAGTAATGAAGATGATAATGATGGCGATAATGATGCTGACGACGACGACGACGGCGACGATGATGGTGATGACGATGATGACGATGATAATGGCTGGATTACACCTCGTAAGATCTTTATTATATCTAGTATTTTAATTGTTTGTATATAGATAATCTTTAGAAAACTTTTATTTCAGAAAATATTTGCAGTATAAAAAAAGAACTTGACTCAGAACTTCTTGAAGAAAAACCTGCAGTTGTTGCATGTTTAACAATGGATTTTGCAATGCAAAATGTTTTAAAACAAATTGGATTAAATGTAGTTGCATTAGATGGAAGAATGATAAAACAAATGAGAACGTTTATCCTTAGGTGTTATGCATGTTTCAAAACTACTAGTATTATGACAAAAGTTTTTTGTCCTAGTTGTGGCAATAAAACGTTAAAAAAGGTAGCGGTCACATTAAATGAAGAAGGGAAACAACAAATTCATATCAATTTCCGAAAACCGATTTCAAAAAAAGGGAAACGGGTAAATGTTTAAATATTTTTGTTTTACAAGAATGGCTTAGATAAAAATATTTTATACCGTAATTCTGTAAATTTACAGTTTTCTTTGCCAACACCAAAAGGTGGGAAACACGCAAACAATCCTATTCTTTGTGAAGATCAACCATTGCCGGATCAAAGACCTTCAAGACTTGCACGTACTAAAAATGACCCTTTGCACGATGATTATGTAGCTGGATATTCTCCATTTATTATGCGTGATGTATATTCTAAGTCAGCTATGTTAGGTATAAGACCAGAAGGTTCCATAAAATATTGGATGAGAAGAAATCCAAATGAATGTAGAAGAAAAAAATAATTGTTATAACTTTTGTACTTTATATTTTAAACACTGTAAACGTTCTAAAAGTATACAATAATTTTCTAAAACAAATTAAATGTACATGTATTTTTTATTTTTATGCCTTTAAGTGAAGAGAGTATGTTGGTACATATTTAAATTATAGATTGTATCAATTATTGTCAATATTGTAGAATTTAAAAATGTATTAAAGAATTCAAATATTTAATAAATTAAAAGGTTTTATGTTATAAATACGGATTATTGCGAAATAAAAAAAATTGCCCCGGGTGAGGATCGAACTCACGACCTTAAGATTATGAGACTTACGCGCTGCCTACTGCGCTACCGAGGCCGGTGAAAGCTTCTTTGAAAAATATATATTTGAATCAAAATATTAAAAGCACGTGTAACTATCAAATATTTTTGAAAATAACTGTATAAACATGGTACTCATGAATATCGAAGGCGGTGACATAGAACTAATTATATTTCAGAAATAACTATTTTATAGTGAAAATGTTGAGTCCTGAAGTATGGAATTTTAAACCACCGCAATATCATGTCATGACTGAAAAAAGAGATTATAAAAAACTCGATATACCAGATGTGGTTGAATCGCATTATTTTAACCATTCCGTACGTAGAAAATAATTCTAATTATTACTAATTTTGTGAAGGTTATATATTAAGAAATCTTTACATAATTCGCAATTACTGTTGGCTTTGTGCCAGGTGTCTTTGGTGCTTCCCGATACAATTAGAATTCCGGATGAATTGCGAACTTGCATTTCGGAAGACAGTGATTATTATCGAATTGATGGATTAAACGTGTTTGAGTTGATAAACAAGGAGTTTATTGAAGCGTTTGTAAAGAAAGGTAAATAATTAAAAATATCAAATTACTTTTTTATACATTTCTTATTTACATTCAAAAATTATAATAAATCTTTATTTTTATATTATAAAATATGAATTATTATAATTATTTTATTTTATTAGTAACAAAATGAATTTTTTCAGGAGAATTGTCACTTCTGACCATAGGAAATAAAATAGATTTGGATAACTTAATAGTTATTACACCAACTGGACATTTAATATTGTCTTTACTAACAGAAGATTTTCAAAAACTTGGTTTAGAAGGCAAAGTTTCTTTCTTTGATCGTAAAGTACATACACGTTATGGTAAGTCTTAAAAAGAAACATAACAAAAGCCCAAAATGCCACAAAAGAATCAGATACCCACACTAGTGAATCTGGCATTATATTCCATTGGGGAATTTGTGATTAATTTTGGTAGACACTTAACAAAACATATTTGTACAATTTCGAAGATTAATCCAAAGTATGGGCATACTAAGTTACGATCAACATTAGAATTTATGAAATATTTATTGAGTTCCAACATACCTCAACATTTATATGATGAAATGTCTCAAACAGTATTAAATGCAATTGTTAATTTAGTACAGGAAACTAGGGGTACATATAATGATTATGCTTTAACTACAACATTTTTGTCAGAAATGACGGTTGCTCTTCATTTAACAGAAGTGGCTATAGGTCCCAATTTGAAAAGAATTAAATTTTCTACATGGCCAAAAATAATACGACATGTTCTTTATAATAAATTACATAATATGGTTGGACTTGAAGTTTTGGATTTAGGCTCAGGTTCTGCTGGTTGGAGAACATCAGATATTGAGAAAATTATTATCAATGGAGTGTCTGCCATGCCAAACTTACAGTGTTTTATTTTATGTTTTGATTGTACAGACAACGTTATAGCAGCTTTAGCTCAGAATTGTAAAAAGTTACAAACATTAGATGTAACTGCATCCAGATCTGTCACAGAACGTAGTGTTGAACCCTTACTTTCATGTAAAAATTTGAAACGAATTAAGTTATGTCGAACTTCTATGACTATATCTGGTTATGCAAATCTATTTTTAGAACATTTAAATATAGAAGATATTGGCAGATGTGATGAATTTGGATATGTCTTAGAACTTATTCAACAAAATGAAATTGATGCTAAAAGTACTTTTCATATAAGGACATTCGAAAGTCGAAACTTTGAGATGGAACATTTGTATCTTTTAGTTGACATGTGTCCATATATTACAAGTCTTTGTTTACTGCGTGATGAAAGAATTGTTGACTTAACAATTCTAGCAACTCTTGATTATTTAAAAGAATTGAAACTTCTATCTTGTGACTTTTATGCCCATGGGATAAAAACGTTGTTAGAAATAAAAGGTCGCACAATTGTGAATTTGCACTTGGAACATATAGATGAAATTGACTTAAATGCACTTATTGATATAAGTCAATATTGTCCAAATATAAAAACTCTAGTTTTTTATAACTGTGAATTCTTAGAACGTGCACCTGTTTATTCAAGAAAGCTGGCAGTTCCTCCATTTCAGTGTTTAGAAAGAATCAAATGTGTAGCAGATTGTGCAAACATGCATCTAGAATTTTTACTTTCTCATTGTACAAATATTAAATTTATTCAATTGGGTTCATCAACTGGTATTGGAGATGAAACAATGAGAACAATATTTTTGAAGAACCCAATGAACAAATTAGAAGAGCTAAAAATATTATATAGTCATGATTTGTCAATGAAAACCGTGCAGTTGTTAATGCAAAATTGTGATAATTTACGACGCCTATCAGAATTAGAAAGTTGGGAAGGAATATCATCTACAGAATTAAATATTTTCAGAGAAGAGTTGAAAAGTACTAATATAAATTTGGATACAAGTCCAAGCTTATCTTTTGCTTGAATAAGATATTGTAATTGGCTAAATAATAATAAAAAGTTAAAGAAAATATTCTTTACATCTTTGTAAAATAAAGTAATTTAAAAAATACAATATAATTATTACTGTATTTTTAAAATAATTAAAAATATCAAAAATTAAAAAAAAAGTGTTAACATATTTCTTTATTTTAAAAACTATAATATCAAACAATTTTTGTTACTTTTTATTGTACATTTCATTTAAAAATTTATAAGTTTTGTACATATTTTCTTTCTTTTTTTTTACCGGTAATGTAAATGAAAAGTTGTAACTATTGATTTAAAGTGTGAAAGTTTTATACCTGGCAAAAAGAATTACGAACATACTCAAAAAGCGCTAAAGGAGTGTTTTAATCAGAAATTCGATGTAATTATATCGTGGGATCCACCAGGTAATGCCCTTTCTCGGTGTATTTAATGTATCTGTATACATTAATTTTCTATATTTCATTTTAATATTACTTTTATTTTTAAAGATGAAAATTTATGTCCATCATCAGTGGCAGCATGGTTCTATAAACGCGGATATAATGTTTCTCTTTGTCACCAAACATTTATACAAAAAGCCGAATATTCTTTAAAGATACCATTACTTTCAAATGATTCTGACAATGATAAATTCTTTGAGTGGCTTGGAGTTTTCAGTATCTCTGGTGATTTGTATGTACAAAACATTTTGGATAAATGTTTAAAATGTATATAATATTTATAAGATGTTCAATATATAAGATAATTAATTATTATTTTCAGAAAAAATAAAGAAGATAATTATGTAAACACATACGCGTGTCCGTCTCCTTTTACAGAAGTTGGACAAGTACTATATTTACAATGGACAGGCTTTTTTACTAGAAAGTCGATAATAAATTTATATAATGCTGTAAAAAAGTATGTATCAATACAGGACACTGTACCATGGATTTCTTTACACGTACAAGGATTTCTAGATAGCCCTATTAGCTGGGATTTAAAAGAACATACATTTTATACCGATGGTGACAATAGCTATACTGTTGTGTTTAGGCCAATTAATCATCTTATTGTAAGAAAAAGTGTAAATTCAAATAATAAACCAAGGATTTTTCAATAATTGTAAATTTACTCTATATCATTTGATAATATAAATAAAAATTGTGTATTAAAAGAAATGAATTATATTTTGTAATTTGCAAATTATTTATTATGATATAGAGAAGAATAAATATTTATAAATAACATGCTTTTTTAATACATATAACATTTTACATCAATACATTGTTAATTATAGACATAAAAAAAAATATGTGGAATGTGTACTCAGTAATTGAAAAAAAGCTCTCTTCAAACTTTTACAAAGTATCCTAATATAACATAGATTTTTATAAATTAGTTCTGACTGGGGTTTTTAAATTCTTCTTTTGTTGCTAAATACTGTGTTATAGACATATTTATCTAGTACCATATTATGTTAAAACTATACTAAAAATAATCATTTGCAGAAGTATGTTATTGCACATGTTTATATTACAAAGTAAAAAAAAAACTATAAATATTAACTATATCATTTTATAAATTTACAAGACTAGATATTAATCGAAACTCAATGTTTCTACGTATACAATTAACTTATGAGATCAAAACAATGTATCATGTACAGTTTTTAAAGCGTTTTAAAACTTTTGCTCAGTAAATGCATATGCAGTGATTCCGTGTCTACAGACGCCAATTTTGCTGCTTGCACTGTGCAGAATATATAATACCTAAAAGTTACATGAAATAGAATATTCTAAATTTATAAAAAGATTTCTAACTTTTCAAAGATGCGCAGATAATTATCACAAAGTAACACACTCTTTCTCTATCTATATGAGAGATAATAAAACGTTCAAATTACAATTAATTTAGAATTATATATTATGCGGATTACCTTTTATATCAATACGTGTGAACTCTCTGATTCAGGAAATTTAACTTTAGAATTGTAATAAAGATCTTCAATACCGGAACCAACAGACATACGAGACTTAGAACGAGTCATAACTTCACCTATTTCGTCAAAGTCTTTGTACCTGGATACATGTTATATTGAGATGAGTAATATGTATAATTGTTATTATTTATTACAATATATGGATCTGTTGATAAAAACGCACCTACTGACTGGACGACTTTGATTTTCCGATGATTCTGAAGAATTTTTCATAAGTGAGAATCGATCATCTGCATTAAATGATGTTATATTACCTATTAAGGATTCAATGTTGTTTCAATAATAATATGGACAATTATATTAAATGTATAGTAAAACTCATTTACCGGAAGGAAATAACATCGTATGTTTCAAAAGGTCACCGTTCATGAATGGTGAAAGGCTATCATCTTCTTCTGGAAACAAATGATTGCTAGTATCATTTGTTATGGATTCTACCATTTCTAACCATTGTTGATTATGTGATCTAAACTTTTCCACTTTTATACGAGCTGCCCAATTTTTATCACACATCTAAAATTTCATAATAGCTTCATTTGCTATTTAAAAATAACTATTATATAAATGCTCAAGAAATGTACTTACAGCAATAACATCTAAGCAGGCATCACATACTTTTCTAATTGCTGGATTCTTGTCATGCATAAGATCTATTAAATATCCAGGTGCTTCTGCAAATAACAAATATTCCAGTATACGAAATTTGAAAAACACTGTTTTCTGTATTTTTGTTTAAGAATGAAGCAAAATATGTGACAATTACCATTACCAGTTTCTCGTATTAAATAATCTCTTGTCGAATCATGTTTCGATATTTGATAAAACACATAAATTATTTGCAAAACCATTTCGTCGTCCTCTTGTTTTGCTATAAAAATTATTCTTAAGAAAAAAATAAACATTTATTTTTTATCTTTAATAGTATACAAACCTTTCAGAAGTTCGATAAGAGAAAGCAATATATCAGCCTTACATAATAATCGTGCGCAATCTTCATCGTGAGCTGCTGTACCCAGAAAAATTACAATCTCAAGTACTAGGTCATCGGGTGCTTTACCTAAGCGATAAAGTTATTATAGTATTAAGATAAATGAAAACTTAAAAATCAGGAAAGTATGTAACTATAGAACGAGTCAATAACCTGGAACAAGATTATTACGTATCCATGGTATTAAATCACATCGATGAAGTATTTGTGAATAATCCAGATCAGGTAATTCTAAATTGCCTAATACACCTATCACTTCCAATACAAAGTCCTGAGAATCTGATTGATTTAACGCCATGGCAAAATCACCAACAAATTCCTAATTAATGTTGAAAATAGGTCTTACTATTTGTATATATCGGATAACGTTTTTAATACGCAAACAACTACTCACGACAAAATTTTCTTTTGTTGAATCATGTTGAGAAACATTTCGAATCATTTTCATTATCAAAGGATCCTGATTTCTAAATGCCTTTCTTATAAGACCTTGTAAGCGGTTATTTTCCACCATAAGTTGCGCGTTTTTACTATTAATTGCTAAATTTATACCAAGTGCTATTAATTCCATTTTTGGGTGATCGTCTTCAGAGCTTAAAATCATGTTTGTTACCTGAAAAATAATTATTATAGAAAGAAGATATTATAAAATTTTATTCATAATTTTTATTGCAATACGTACTATCTGTATACATTCAGTGTTTGTAAACATTGCTTTCACTTTATCGTCCATACTAGCATGATACAATAAGCCCAAAATAGTAGTTTTATTTTTTATGTCACTTTGACTCAGTAGTTTAATTAATTTTAGTAGTAAACCAACTCTTATCATCTTTGCTCTGAGTTTTGCATCAAAAGAAAGATTGAACAATAATTTCAAAGTACTCAAAACTAAGTCTGTATTATTACTTTGAAGAAGTCTGGGTATTTTTTCAATAATACTTTCTTCTGCCTGAAAAAATAATACATAAATAATAAAGAAATATGTACAGCTATATATATTAATTCATTATTAACACATAGAACAAATTTTTTATATGAAACTTTACCATAAGATCTTTATTTTCACGAAATATAGATAATTTCTTTAAAAATGCAATAACAAGTATTAACAAATCAGTGTTTGTTCTATCTAATGTCCTAATCAGCATACCAATTACATTTTTCTTTCGCATCTTCCTCTCAACTTCCATATTTTCAGCAATATTTAGTAATAAATAAAAAGCCACTGTAAAATAAATTTATATACAGTATTAAAAGAATGTTACCAGCATTAAGATATAAAACTGTTAATACCTCGTAACAACTGTTCTTGCTTTTTTGTCAAACTTTTGAACTTTTTACGATTTTTTTCAAGTTCCTCTTTCAATTTTTTTATGTCACTTTCAGATACAGCAGTAGTTATTTCATTAGATCGTTTCTTAATTTCATAATCTAAAGGTCCATCAGTATTCCAAATATCATCAACAATTTTTGTTTTTTTATCGGAGTTGTCATTTCCACTTGAAAAAAATGTTAATCCTGTAGTATTTTCAAAATGGCGCCTACGTTTTTCCATATCCTCTTTCCATTGATCATATCGGTTTAATTCAAAATCTATTATATCCATACACAAAGACCCAATCTAAGAATGAATAATTACTTATTAAATATAGTTTTATGTTTAATGCATTGTAGCTTCTTTTCACTTACTCTGTATTCAAGAACAATATTATGAAACTGACTGTATGTTGAAAAGCAGAAAAAAATGTAGACAATATTTGTGGATAGTTCTATACTACGTCTCCAATCTTCTCTCAAAACACGTGCTAAAGCACTTAATAATGATTCTAAAAAAATGAGTATGAATTAGTGAAGTAAATAAATAAATGGAAAATTGATTATTAAAAACTATGCTATACCATTTTTTGTTAATTCATGAAGATTATCTGGTACCCTGGCCAACTGTAAAATCAGTGATGAACCTTTTATTTTTCCTGGTATTTCTTCATATAATAGTTCTATATAATTGTCAACATTACTAATGACAGCCCGTTCTATTTCTGTATTATCCGCAGATATGGAATTTGATGATGTAGGTCTTGAAGGTTGAGAGCTGTTATCATTACCTATAATAAAAAAATACATAATGAAGAAAATTAAATAAAATGTCAATTTTTTTATATAACATAAAACTTACTTGTGCTACTGTCATTTACTTTTCGGTTTTGCAGATAATAAATCAATTGTTCTACTTCACGAAGTTTTGATTCATGTATTAAAGAACATTTTTCTATTACCTCCTTAGCTAAAAGTGATACATTTGTATCTGCATTCAAACTCTTTAATCGAATTATTTTTTGACATTCCTGCAAATAAGCTTTTTAATTATATCATCATAACAATATTTCCTGACAAACTATTTAAAAATCTTACTTTACGGTCTCCTAACATAGGATCCCCTAATTCACCAAGAATTAATGCCTCAACGTCATAATTTACTACCAAAGCTTTTTCTGTTGGATGTACATCTAAAGCTCCAGATCTTACTTTCCTAAGTATTGAAATAAAGTTCAATGTAGATCCACATTATATATTATTTATAAAGATTGCATTATACAAAATTTAAATGTACATTTATACAACAATACTTTGATACATAATTAATAATATAAATACGTGATGAAATTTTTACCGTTTTAGAAATTTCGCTTCATCCATTTTAATATGTTATTTATTCCTTAATGTATGAAAATATTGTACGTGTTATAACGTTGTTCAGTCAATTTTTAAGAAATTATTTCATTTTCACAAAAAGGAAATCGAAGATAAAGTCACCAATTCCTGTTACTATCAATTCTGTTTTCTTGTCTAAACATTACGCCATCTACTACAACCTTTGTATACTATTTTTAAAATTTAAACCCTATTTTACACTAGATAAGTCAAATATTGTTGATATTTTCTTATATGTAACTTATATTGTATGAAGAATATATCACTGATTTTTAATTTATATAAAATTTTCTCTAAATTGTTTAGTTTATCAAAAATAATTTTGTCCAGATTTTAAGTATACGTATTATATAGTAATTGGAAATATTCGTATATATATGTATATATACTGTGTCAATTATAGAATTACATGTTTAATCTAATTACTGTTTGTATTCTTTAAGAAATTCTGTGATAATAAATTAAAATATTTATTAATTTATGCGTGTGTAGTCAAATATAGAAGAAATAGTAAAATTAATTTCATATTGTGCCACTTCTGTTTTTATCTGCTGTAGTAGATAATGAATGATTGACATGTGTTCATTTCGTAATATCTTCACATTATTATTTTAATTAAAAATTAAGATTAATTCAATTGTGATATATTACAAAGAGATTATGTTAAATAATACATATCATTGCTGTAATAAGTTAGAAAGATAATTTTTAAATACTTACATAAAAGTTAATAATATTTACATTTTAATATAAATAAAATATTTAATTAAAATGACAAGAAAGACATTCATCATTGACTGTGATGCTGGTGTAGATGATGCATTAGCATTAATAATATTAATTGCAGCTCATAAACAAAAACAAATTCAAATTAAAGCAATTACATGTGTAAATGGGAATACAGCAGTGGATAATGTAGTAAAAAATGTATTTAGAACTTTAGAAGTTTGTAAAACAACAGATGTAAGTATTACAAATGTTAAATTTTATTTTTGTAAAAACTATATTAACATTTTTCATATATTATTTCATAGATTCCAGTCTTTAAAGGAGCCCATGCACCCTTACTGTGCACTCCAAATGTTGACAAAGCAGCCAAAGATCAGTATCATGGGAGTGATGGGTTTGGAGATGTATATCAGACCAAAGTAGACACAAGTACATTACAAACAGAGCATGCTGTATGTGCTTTGAATAGAATTACATCTGAATGTCCAGATAAAATAACTATTGTATGTTTGGGTCCTTTAACAAACATCGCATTAGCCATGAAAATGTATCCTGAATTTGTTAACCATATAAAAGAACTTTATATCATGGGAGGAAATATTACAGGTACTTTTTTCAATGAATATTTTGCATATGTCTTCATTCCTTTATTTATATTTTTATTTTTATGTCAGCACAAGGCAATGTAACACCTCAAGCAGAATTCAATTTTTATATGGATCCAGAAAGTGTGCATATAGTCTTTAACAGTAATAAAAAACCTTTATGGTTGTTACCATGGGAAACATGTTTAAAATCCAAAGTTTCACATGTAAATATAATGCAATTATAATTATTTAGATGATATAATAAAAATATAATAAACAATTTAATATCTTTTAGGAATGGAGAAAATCTGTATTGGGTCAAATAGATAAACCTTGCATGCAGCTGATGAATACTATTGAAAATGGATGTAGCAAAACAAGGAAGAAACATTTTCCTACTTATATTTCGTGCGATGCAATTTTAGCTGGAATTTTGTTGAAACCAGAAATTGCACAAAATATAGTGTCATATCATGCTGACATTGAATTGAGTGGTAACAGAACTAGAGGTCAAGTTGTACTTGATCATTTATTGTCTAATAAACCTAATGTGTTCCTAATTCAAGATTTTGACTCAGAAATGTTTAAAGAACTTTTAATATCTTCTGTTAATACTGATTATATAATACAATAAATATGTAGTAAAATAAAGTTGAGATTACAATCATATGTATATAAACAATATAAGTATATGTATATAAGTTTTTATATTTGTACTGTTATACTACATAAACATAAAAATAATTCTACATGATTTTTTATTATATTAGGAATGTTTAATTTCTAAACATGAAAGAAATACGAAATTGTACTAAATAGTACATAGTATTATATTATATTATATTATTGTATATATTTACAATATATAATCTGAAACAATAAAAATATTGGTTTAATACATGTATGTATTTAAATATGCATATGATTCATGTCACTCAAATTATAGACATTGTAGGTTATGTACCTGTTTAAAACGAAATATTACAAATCTGGTTTCAAAGAATCTTGACATTCTTGAAATTGTTTCCTTGCTTCTCGATTTGATTGCAATAATTGAATTAATTCTGCACGAATATCATCATTTTTTTGTTCGAGGTTATCCAACACTGAATTAAGTTGATCTAACTGAGCGTTAATCGCTTCAAATTCTGAAATTAAAACATTGTTACATATATATTCTATATAACAGAAACAAAAATATTTTATCAGTTATCAGTTATTATTAAAAAATGTTTATAAATATATAGAATTATTTCGAAATTCTGATCAAGATAGAACATTAATTTTTTGTAATTTTTTATACAGAAATGTATTACTTACCGGCATCGTTACAATTTTCATCATTCTCGTCATTTTCTTCATTTTCCCAATCCTCGTTATCACCATTTTGATTTCCTTCTGGCCGAACTGCGTCTTGAACCATGTTTTCATCTGCCATTACCATTAATTGCTTTTGCTATGAGATATACATATATAGCTATATAAGCAGTAGATATGTATCTACGTATTATTTAAAATTCTACACATAATAAATAATTGCTTTAAATATTAATATCAATCGTTGAAGATAACAATTATATTTTATTTTTTAATATATCTGGATATACAAAATTAAAAATCATGTCTTATATTTATTATCTTAGCTAAATATCTTATACTTTTTTACATATGTTATACAATGTTTAAAAGATTTTTAAATACACCATTTCCAATATATTATAAGAGGTATTTAAAGTCTGGACCGCATTCCACCAGAAGCTACAATAGTTTCACCAGTGATATAAGAAGCATCATCACTTGCTAAAAATGCAGCAACACCTGCTATTTCATTTGGTTCACCAAATCTTTGCATTGGTATCATTGATAAACTTGCTTCTCCTGCAGCACCTTCAACAATCTGTAAACAATACATAATGCATTTAATATATGTTACTATATATTCATACATAATTTACAAGAATATATATGAAGACATACTGATTGTGAAAATTTAGTTTTTATTATTCCAGGTGCTATGCAATTAACACGAATTTTTTCAGGTGAAAGAGACTCAGCAGCTACTTGAGTAAGTCCTAACAATGCAGTTTTGCTAACAGCATATGCTCCTAGTAACTAAATAATAATATATATGAATAATATTGATATTACTGTTAAATAAAATTAGAAACACTACTCACAGTAATCGGTTGATATGCAGCTATGGAAGATATAATGATTATTGAAGGAGATTTACTCTTTCTTAATAGAGGTAAAGATTCTTGCATCAAGAGATATGTACTTTTAACATTGACATCAAAAATTTTATCCCATATCTGCTCTGGGGTATCAAGAAGTGTTGAAACACTGGGATTGGTAGCTGCATTTGATACAAGAATATCTAAACAACCAAATTCTTCTTGTACCTGTAATATTATCATGAAATTGTTTTTAATCTTTTCCTTAATAAAGAACCATATTCATAAAGTTCATTCTTACTTTTTTAAAAAGATTTTCTCTATCTTCTTTTTTACCAACATGACACGTAGTACCAAAAACGTGTAAACCCTCAGATTTAAGATGTTGTACACTTTTTGTTACATTTGATTCTTTACGACTACTAATTACTACCTTGGCACCTTCTTGAGCTAGACGTTTTGCTATTGAAAAACCAATACTAAATAAAAACAAAAAACAAACAAAGTTTAAGTATTACATATAGACAAAAAATAATATGATGATAAAAAATGGAATAACTTGCGTGATAAAATCATTAATTATAAATTATATGGAATATGTTATCTCACCCTTCAGTTGATGCTGTTACAATTGCTGTTTTTCCTTCTAATCGTTTACAATTCATTTTTGATAAATTAGTGCAGAATTTTCGGACACTTTGATTTAACGAACTATGTAACATAATAATGAAATGTATCAGAGATATAAAATGTACTTTAAATTCACTCGACAGTCTTCAACAAATAAAAAAATCATATAAAAATTATTATAGGTTACATAAATATGTATAATTCCATTTACATATTAACATTATCATAATCGTGATGTTGCATATTTTTTACGCTGATAAAAATAATTATATAAATGAATTTATTAATTTATTTACATTATTTTTTACATACATATGTAAAGTATCTGTTATTTATTATTATTATATTAAACGAAATATTAATATTTAGGATAATTATCAGTAAAAAATATTTTTTGTTGCTTTTGATTTCGTATGTTTAAAATTATCAGTAAGTACTTTTGATATTACAAATGCTATTTATAATTTTCATTTTCAAATGTATCACTATGACTCTTTCTTTTAAATACAACCATACCTTGAAATATATACTACACTTGTTGCTAGTTATAATACTAGATTATAGTTCATCATAAAAAAGTAATTTAATCAACAAGTTGTTCTTTATTTTGTATACAAATAAATGCTAAAAAACATAAAGCTATTATATGGATTGGAATACCTAATTTGGAGTTATTAAAAACTTTTAGAATATATATAATGATTTCAATTTTTTGTATTAAAATATTACAATGTTTTAATTCATATTAAATTTATTTATTTCATAATTATTACAAAATAAGTTTTATAAATTATTTAAGTTAACTCTCCACAAGCTGTTATCACAACTTTTTGAGTAGGAGTTCCTGACTTTGTCCCACATTTTTCCATCTTCTTTAGAACATCTAAACCGCTCAAAACATGTCCAAATACTACATGTTTTCCATCTAACCAATCTGTACGTGCAGTACATATGAAGAATTGAGATCCATTTGTGTTTGGACCAGAATTTGCCATTGATAGGGTACCAGGTCCAGTGTGCTTTAATTCAAAATTTTCATCATCAAATTTATTTCCATAAATTGATTTGCCTCCTGTCCCATTATGATTTGTGAAATCTCCACCTTGACACATCTATATTTTATGTAAGTTTATTTATATCACAAAAACAAAAATAATAAAAATGTAAAGAAACTAAACAAAGGATACAAATTCTGGAATAATTCTGTGAAAAGTACTTCCTTGATATCCATATCCTTTTTCATGTGTACAAAGAGCACGGAAATTTTCAGCAGTTTTAGGTACTATATCAGCTCTTAACATCATAATAATTCTGCCTACTTCTTGTTTTCCAATAGTAACATCAAAATATACTTGAGGATTTTGTTTTCCTTTTTTGCATTGAACTGTATCACCTGATTTTCCATTATCATCGCTTTTAAGTGTTTCACCTGCATGCTCTTGTAACCATGCATCATCGGCCCAAACAGGTTTTGATGAACCTTCCTTTATTTTTTGTGGTTTTGCAATATTTACTCTTATTGTTCGTCCAAACAACTCAGAATCATTCTGTTTATTGAAGATAAAATTTGACAAATGGATTAGGTGATTTAAATATTAACAGCAATTGATACAATGATTAGATAAAGGGAATTAATATTTACTTTATATATTTGTTGATCTTATAACAATGAATCAAACCATTGAAAATGTTAAAATTATTGGAAAAAATTGGAATAAATATTTAGTCAATTTTTTTGCAAGATCATATTGTTAAATAACTCACTCAGCTATGTATGTTGTTTTAAACATGTACCATATTATCAATTGCTGTTGCTGCATCTTCTGCGCTTTCAAATTCAATAAAAGCAAATCCTCTATGTTTTTCTGATTCATAATCTAGTGGTATTTGCACGTCAACTATCTCACCAAAAGGTATAAATGCTGCATGCAATATTTTTTCATCAACTTCCTCGGCTAATCCTCCTAAATAGTAACAACAATAATAGAATGAACATATAAAATGTATTGCAACATGTGTGACATAGGTTATATTTATAAATATATATTTGACAAATAGTTTCCTACCTACGTAAATAGTCCTCTTCGTATTTGTACTCATAATGTATGAAATATTTATAGACTTTTTATTTTTCTGAATGTGATCTTGCTATAAAAACAAATACCCGATATCAGTTTTATTGACTGAAGGACGCCGGCGAGCCGGCTGTATGTGATATATCAAACAATATACCTCACGTATAACACCCTTAATCAGAGTAAAGTAGCGACAAGTTATATAAGGTCAATTTGTTGATAAAATTGATAACATGTATTGATGTGTTAGGCGAAAATAACCGCTTATAAAAGAATTTTATATTAGTTCAAAAATATAAATCTTCTGTTTCCCGTGTTCGAAGGTAAGCGTTAAACTTTTATAAATAGTATTTTTATTATGTTTTATTGATAAATTCGTATATAAATTAGAGATTATTAAATATTATATTAATATTTTTAAATTATTATAAATTCTTTGATTCCAGATCATTGTCATAATGATTCGAAATACACCTGTCAATCGTGCTTCACTGAATCTTCTAAGGGATTTAGCATATGTAAATGGAAAGTGGATAAGTGCGATAAACAAAAATACGTTTCCTGTTTATAATCCTGTTGATAAATCAGTCATTAATAGTGTCCCTGATATGAATGTTGAGGATACTCGAGCAGCAGTTAATGCAGCATCTGCAGCTTTTGAAACATTCAGTAAAACAACAGCAAAGGAACGCAGTGTATTACTTAGAAATTGGTATAATCTAATGGTGAAACATTCTGATGACTTAGCAAAAATTTTGACTAAAGAAAATGGAAAGTCCCTTGCTGAGTCTAAAGCAGAGATTAATTATGGAAATTCTTTTGTTGAATGGTTTTCAGAAGAAGCTAGACGAATTAACGGGGAAGTATTACAAGCACCAGTACCAACTAGAGAACTTCTTTTGTTAAAGCAGCCAGTAGGGGTAGCTGCTTTGATTACACCATGGAATTTTCCGCATGCTATGATTACACGTAAAGCAGGTGCTGCTCTTGCTGCAGGGTGTACATGTGTAATTAAGCCATCTGAAGATACACCTCTTACAGCCTTAGCATTAGCTGATCTTGCAGAAAAGGCAGGTATTCCTCATGGTGTTTTGAATGTGCTCACAACAGGTCAACAAAATTCTGTTGCTGTTGGTAAAGAATTATGTGAGAACCCTAAAGTACGAGTTTTATCATTTACTGGTTCTACAACTGTAGGAAAAATTCTTTATCGACAATGTGCTTCAACTATGAAACGAATTAGTCTTGAATTAGGGGGTAATGCACCATTTATTATTTTCGATTCAGCAAATTTGGATATAGCTGTATCAGGTGCTATGGCAAGTAAATTCCGTAATACTGGCCAGACGTGTGTCTCTGCAAATAGATTTTTTGTGCAAGCTGGTAAATTTGATAAATTTGTTGAAATGTTTTTATCAAAAATTAAAAGTGAAATTAAAATGGGTGATGGCAGTAAAGAAGGAGTGACACATGGTCCTCTCATTAAAGAAAGTCAACTAAATATGGTACATAAATTAGTTACTGATGCAGTGCAAAAAGGAGCAAAAGTACATTGTGGTGGCATGCCACTATCTGAAAAAGGACCATTATTTTATGCTCCTACGCTTATAACAAATGTAACTGAAGACATGGAAATATATAACAAAGAGATTTTTGGTCCAGTAGCTGTTATTAATAAATTTGAAACTGAAGAAGAAGTTATACGAAAAGCTAATGATACTCCTGTTGGCTTAGCTGGATATTTTTATTCACAAGATGTATCACAAATATTTAGAGTAGCAAGAAAATTAGAAGTTGGAATGGTTGGTGTAAATGAAGGAATGATTTCATGTGCAGAAGCTGCTTTTGGAGGAGTAAAAGAGTCAGGTTTAGGTAGAGAGGGTTCCAGTCACGGTGTTGAAGATTTTCTTGATATAAAATATGTATGTATCAGTCGTCAGTAATATTAGCCGCTAATATGTTTGGTCTATATTTTGACTAAGTAAGTTTTAGTGAAAAAGAAATATACTCAGAATTAATGTATTATTGCAATAGTACATTGCTTCATAATAATGTACTATTTGTGAAACCGAATGTCTTCCATAGTCTATAAAATATGTCTTCCATAGTATATAAATTACAGTAATATTAATAGTAACGTAGTATAAATAATTCCATACTTTTTCTATTTTTATGATATATTTTATTCATTTTTGTGTATATTACATGTATAAATAAGATTTATTTTATTTGTATAATTGTTATTAATAGCAGGTGTATATAAAAAAGGATAGGTAATTATAATAATGTACTACTATATTTTAGAAATAAAATTATATTCACATTATGTAATAGTAAATACACATATGACAAAACAATATATAGTTGTTTTCAATAAAGATAGAATAACCAGAATATAACTGCAATAAGAATGTCAGCAATTTTTAAGTCCATGTTTTTGAATATACCTTTCCCTAGCTTCTCTTAACATTTTAGCTTTTCTTTCCTGGAAGGAAGAAGTTCCTATATTACTATTATCCTTAACTGTACTTATTTGTAACTGATTTAATGATGTTGATGGTGGAACAGTAGCTTGAGTTGAATCTGGAGTATAAGTAACTATGCCATCTAGTATATTGGCAATTGTAATATCAACATTGCGTGTTTTCACTGTAAGAATAATTACTGCATTAACATTTTTAAACTTATAAAAGTATTAATATAATATCTTGATAATTATAATTAAAACTTAGTTGTTTACATACAAAGGTCTCTGAGAATTACATTGTGAGGGACCAATGGAAGCACTTCACTGACTTGTCGTACCATTCTCTGGATCTCAATACTGTGTATAACTTGTGAATTTGGAGAACTTCTATTAAATCTTCTATTTTGTGTTTTTTCTATGATGCAGCGTTTTTCAAATTCTGCTTTATCTGATACAGTATGAGAACTTGTCTGGAGTCCAAGACTAGTTGCTATATCTTTCTCTACTTCCCGTACTAGTATTTCAGAATCCGCATTTTGTTTAATTTTCAGGTACTTAATTGTGAAGACTGTATAAGGAACAAACATAAACCAGAAGACATCTGTCCACCATGTAGATGCCAGTGAAGAAAGATGAATAGATGTAAATTCTGGTCTCCATGCTTTGATTGTAACTGGTTGAACAGATGTTTCTATGGTAAACGGCCAAGAATTGAATTTTAACAAAGCAACACGACTATTGGTTGTACCAAATTCTGGTTGTAATGCAATATTGCATTTTGATGTAGAAAGAAACTGTTTTATACTGGCGATTAAAGTTTCTTTATTGGTCATATCCATTATCTGTAGACCCAACGCATTACTAAGCACAGTTGGTAATTCCCATACACTAGGACTTAGTGCTTGCGTAGCTTTATACAACACAAAGTGATCCAGAACAGAAACATTATTAGCAATTATAATTCTTGATTGTTTGTTTTTGACTTCACCTTCAGGAATTTTTACCACAATTCCAAAAGCAAAACTAAATCCATGGCTTAAAAATATTCTGAGATTATTACAGTCAGGTAATAGAGTTGCAAGGAGCCAAAGTTGTAAAGCAGTTAATAACCTTAGTAATACAAGTAAAAGACCCACTGGGGTATACAAAAATATAGACACAAGATGCCAACCACTGGGAAACCTAAATAACGTATTTCATTTAAATTTTATGATATTTAAAGTAATGTTAATTAAATTATAAATAAAATGAAAATAATGCAAGATATATTCTACTTGATTCATAAAAATTTGAATACATTAATTATTAATGCTTCTATCTATAAATAAGACAAATGTTTTTGTTATATTCATACTATTGTGAAACAAGTAATATATATGACAAGGAAACATCTTCAAATACTTCTTATGCAATATAACTTGTTAAAAATAGAATTTTCCGCATAGAATTTTTTAATTTAATACATTATTACTAATACATTTATATTTATAACATTTTATTAGATGTTTGTTTAGTTCAAAAGTATCCATATGATAATACAACTGAATTCATTATTTTAGAAAGTTGATCACATTCACTACTGAATCTCCATAGTATTATTTATTATTAAAAATGTGACAAATCAATACTATTATTAATGTAATGTTAATAAAATTTGTTGTATACAAATAGTTGTTTTACCTGCTTTTATCAAATAAATCCTGGATATCAATTTGTGACATTTCTTACAATAAACATCTGTTATGTTGAAAAATTGACACTTAACAATTATATTTTACTAAAATGATCACAACTGTTTATTGAAACCTGACAATGACGCGACTGATATTTGACCTTTTTTAACCTACTTTTTAGCAGCGTTTCAATTAATACAATTTTTCGTTTTCATCAATTTCTACAATCAGCTGTTTTGAGACAAATGTCCTAGGGACTTTTACTATAACTTAAAGCACGGTCTTCAATTACAAAAAAAATCTCCATTTTTTTCGCTAGATTGAAAATTCACTATATAAATAAATTTATTATAATTGTTTTGAATAATGATATTTTAATAAAAGCTTATTTATTTTACTATATAAAATTATAAAATGTTTAAAAATTGTTAATATACAGTCATAACGAAAAGGTCAATTTAATAAAGAAGGATAATTATTTTTATATAAAGAGAAGCATGTTTTCTATTTTTCACTTTGTGTTCTTCATTTGCTTTATCATAATTCTTTAATAAATAATCAAGCTAATTTAATTGCTAAGTAAAGGTACAAGTTTTATAATTGTAATAATTTTTTATTTTTCATAATTGATGAATACGAAGCTTAAAATATCTTTAATAATAAGGTGACGCATACGTCGATTCTGTTTATAATGAAAAGAATACAGATGCATATATATATATATAAATATTAATTTAATGATGGGTAATGGTTTGATATCACGTGATTTCATTATCGTCGCTAGTGTTAAAGATCAGTGACCACGCGTTCCAAGTTCCCATCGTGGTTTACTGTATTGTCAGAAATTAAAATATTTTTGTCGTGATCAAGATAATAGTTCAAAGTATATTGAACACTTTTATTACGTTTCAACATACAAAATGTAACATTCCTTTCCGTGTATTGTACATACAATATACATATATTGTTTGTCAGTATAATCAAGGGTCCAGTTTCCTTTGCACCGTACAGTATCATTATATTAAATATTTATCAATGGAATGTTACCACATTTATATTAACGTGTATCAATATTTTTGTTTAACAAATAAAAATATTTGTTCTGAATACATTTTAACGTGTTAAGTACAATGAAAACTGTACGAAAATAAAAACTGAGGGCAAGGCCTTTCTTTATAATGGATAAGTTTGATTGAAAAATTCAAGGTCGAAATTTGTTCGTCTTTATCATTAACGAAAGAACAAAATTCATGATGTAATTATTGTCTAAGATGATTTTACAAGAAGAATTATTCTAATGCAATAAGAATGTCAAAGTTGATAAGTGCTTTATATGTGTGTGATTACATCGAATCATTGTTACATTTGCATATATCGACGATATATGTTCATCACATTATTCAAAAGCAATGAGAAAATATGCATAAATACAAGTTTACAAATATTCTGATTGAAACATTGATTTTTGGTTGGTTTGCCCTTACCAGAGAAGCAATTAATGTATCAATAAGGTTAGGAAAAGGGCATCAATCATGAAGAATCCTGCATCTCATCATTTAAATGGAAATAATCATCCTGTTACAACACAAAATGTTTCTCCATGCATTGTGTCTCATTGTGGAAACATGTCAAACAATTATCAAGTACTGAAAGTAGCTGGACGTGATTCTAACTGTTATATCGCAAACAATATTGTTCCAAAAATTGGAAAACAACAGTTGGTGTCATTGAATGGAAATTCTATATCTTGTAACAGTGTAAATGTTAATGAGGCTTTAGCCTGTGATGTGGCTTCCATGCCAGTTGTTAAAACTAAAGCCCTATGTGTCCATATTCGAGAAAATAAATGGTATGATGCTGGTAACATAGTTTCTGTGGGAGTTGCTGGAACTAGTTTAAGTCATGCATTGGAAAGTATGTCTTTAGCTTATAATCCTACTACAAAACAAATATATTCTTTGGAAGAATCTAATGAACCACAGCTTGATTATAAATCACAATATTTAGATTCTCCATGCGATTATAAAGAAGAATCATTAAATGAAAATTTTAAAGTTGAAGAAGATAAATATAATAAATTGGAAAGTGGAAGTGCAAATAGCAGTCCTAGAAACAGTTTACCACGTTCTTGTAGCAGTACTGTGTCTTCCCTTAGCGAAGTGTCCCCATCTGGCAGTTTTTTGAGTTCTGATGATCAGCAGACTGCTGAAAAAGCTGAAAAGTCCAAGCGCTGGGGACTGAATACACTTTTTTCAAAAAATGTTTTCTTATGGAAGAACAAGGATTCTCAACAATCTACACCTACAAGTAGTCCATCAAGGAATATAGATAAAGTGGGGGGAAGTTTAGCTTTAATTCAACAGCCTAGACCAGCAAATTTACCAGCCAAAAATGCAACAGAGGAAGAACGTCATCGTAAGCAATATAATGCTATTTTAGAAGCTATAAGAAAGCGAGAACTACGAGAAGAGAAAGAACGTAAGCATCAAAGAGAATTGCAACTTAAAGAGGAAGAAAGATTAGCAGAAGACTCTCATACTTGGAATGTACATATTATTCCAAAATTTGAAAGTGTTAAAAATTCCAAAAAAGTACGTGAATTATGGTGGCGTGGTCTTCCGCCTAGTGTTCGTGGCAAAGTATGGAAGTTAGCAATTCCAAATAATTTAAATATAACGACACACCTTTATAATATATGTTTAGACAAAGCAATGTCAAATCCTATAAGTGAACCATTAGCTGCAATCAAATTAGATGTGTCTCGTACCTTTCCTAGCTTATGTGTCTTTCAAGAAGGTGGACCACTATCTCATAGTCTTCAAGGTATTTTGGCAGCCTACGCAGTTTATAGACCTGATGTAGGTTATGTACAAGGTATGAGTTTTATAGGTGCTGTATTATCATTAAACATGGAACCTCCAGATGCCTTTACCTGCTTTGCTAATTTATTAAATCATCCTTGCCACAGAGCTGCTTTTACATTAGATCAAAAGCAAATGGATATTTATTATAAGGTATATTCTAGTGCACTTGCACATAAATTGCCAAAAATTTTTTCTCATTTTACAGTAGCTGGTCTTAGTCCAGACTTGTATTTGTTGGATTGGTTGTATACTATATATGCCAAAGCAATGCCTCTGGATGTTGCATGTAGAATCTGGGATGTTTTTTTGAGAGATGGGGATGAGTTCCTCTTCAGAACAGCACTTGGTGTGCTACATTTATATCAAGAAGAATTATTGAAAATGGATTTTGTACATGGAGCACAATTTCTTACTAGGTTGCCAGAAAATTTGCAGGCAGAAGCTTTATTCAACAGTATTAGTCAAATGTCTACTACTGTTGGAACAACCACGTTCCAACAAATGTTAGCTCAATTTTCTTCGTTGTAATTTTATGAATTATAACGAAGTATATGAAAATGTAGTCATATTTAGAAAAAAGAATCTCAAATGCTATTTTTCTTATTGTGATTAATGAAAGATATTTTTATTGATATTGAAAATCTTTCCTAATGAAAATTAATTTATAGTAAAATGAACAATTGATAATATGATTGATTAATTTATGAATTTGTTAATAAACTCTTATTTGTTACAAAAGATTGTTAATCGTTTATCATTTATAATAAATTATTCTAATTTAGTTGTATCAATATCATACAACTTCAGATCAGAAATATCAAATTCATTGGCTGTTTTATCAAGATAAAAATTATTAATTTATTTCCAAACGTTTTATGTTATACAACAATATGAAATTTACATATATTTTATAGTTCCCCTATAATTAGTTTTTATTTTGTATATGTCATGAAGAATGATAAGTAAATACAGCTGAACCATTTAATCTTGAACTCTCAGGTGTCTACCATCTGATAGTGTCATGGTCCAAGATTAAGCAGTCAAGTTGTAATAGTATGCTATAATATGTTATTGCACTACAACTGGTGTACTTTCATACATATACTAGATCTTTCTTGTAATGTACATTTTGAGAAATACTCAGATATATGCTCAGAATACTATGTCCAGAACAAATATAACGTACTTTTATTCTATCACAAATAAACGGAAAATTATTGTCTTGGAAAGCTTGAATATTAATAACAAATACTTTAACGAATATAATAAAACTATAACATTATGTGCCACAATATATATCTATATATGTATCAGAGAACAGTGAATTTTAACTGATACTGAATTTAAAAACTGACTGGTGAAAATATAGCCCATGAAGAATAAATAATTACAGTATATTATCTAACATATAATATTATCAATGCACTTTCTAAGCTTTAATAGTACCAAACATAAAAAGATATCTGTCGTATTTGAAATAAAGGGTTTAACTCTACCATACTTTGATAATAAAAAGTAAATAAAGCACATTTAAGGAACAAAGCTAATTTTGAATAATACAAGTTGTATCTTAGACTAAAAGATATCTTAAAATATATGCAAATAATGTAAAATTATACCAAGACCTTATCTACCTATAAACAACTGCTTAAAAGCTAATTATGAAATTGAATAATATCCATTGTTTCAATCAGTTTACTTTATTGTGTATGCAATCTTAAGTAATTGTGTTTTATGTACGAATATAAACATGAATGATATTAAAAAATAGAGTAAACAACAAGGTGCAATATTAAACAGTAATGAAGATGATTTGAACATTCTCAAAATTTATTTTTTTTTTGGCACATAATATTATGCGGTATTTTACCTACAATAATTATATTTCATAAATATTAGGTTGTAAATATACAAAAATCCAATATCCTGTCCTTTAAGTGACCTTTACAACAAAGAGAAAAATATACTTAAATTTAAGAACAATTTATTATTTAGAATAATTTGGCTATTGTAAGCTTATTGTATGTGCTTGTCGTATAGCATTTCATTTATTGAAGCTCATTAGGTACGAAATATTTGTTTAGTAATTTTACATTTGATTTATTTAATATATTAAAGTAGCATGCAAAGTACAATGTACGGACATATACATATGTCTATATGTATACTGTAAAACGAATAATTAAATTATAGTAAACAGCTATTTCTAAATACAAGCACATTGCAATAACTTTGCTTATAGCGTGGCTTATTGTTATACACGCACTAATTATCTATAAATATTGAATTATATCTAAATAAGAGTTCTTTAAAGTATGAAGGTGTCGATGACAAGATAAAATGTTATAACAATATGTAATTTTCTTGAGTTTCAATTTTTCTTTACTTTTAACAGGGAGATTACGATACATAATTAGAAAGAATTACCACATGTTTAATTATAACAAAGTACATATGTTTCGACACTGTAAACATACCGATATTATAGCCTGTAATTTGTGTATACCGCGAATGTAAAATATATATCATTCTAACGCTTTTCTTTAAAGAATAGTGGAACATTAAACGTAAACTCGGAATCTCGTAAGATTCGTGATATCCTAATTTTTAATTGACAATACTCTCATTCCATCCACTATTCGAATTAATTAACTACTCGACTATTTAGCAATTGTTAATATCTACAGTACTAAATGTAAATACGAGTACGTACTCGCAAATAACAAATTGAAAAAAAAAATGAAACGATATATTTGAACGATTCAAATCACATTATAATGATCTGCTTTCTGTGTGTATGTATAAGATGAAATGAATATATGCGTGGCACATGACAGATTTTATATAAATATAAAATGTGCCGTTAAATGGATAATTTCTAGTTGTCCTTAATTGTTGATTTACTCGAAATATAACAATGAACGATAAACAGAGGGGAAGCAAGTTTTTCACTTTTTAATTTCTTGCAAAAATGTCTCTTTATTTAATTCGTCTAACTGTCGACTTACAGTAAATACATGTTCTTTTATTACGAGTCTAGTGTGCTGCATTAACAGTCCTTCTGGTAAATTAATACACAAAAAGCCATTTCTGGATTTGACATTTCTATTTTTACACTCATTCCACAACGTGAAATATAAGCTTTCTTTGATTAAAATTATGCGTAGAAATGTCTTATCATTCGCCTTTGTCTTTCTTGTTGGAAAGTTATTTTCTTCAAAATTACTGAACCGAAAATTCCCAAAGGTCTAAAGTTTCACGTTTTCAAAAGTCATTTGGTCATTTCCGGTGAAGAGTATTAAGAGGAGTCTCACACAAAACCTGGAATAAAAAAACTTAGTTACCTCTGGCTCTTCTCGAGTTTTTCTTAGTTTCTCTCTAGGCTTCTCTTGCGTCTTCTTTGGGTTCCAAGATTAAAGGCAAGCGATGGAAGACTACATTTGCTTTGAACCAAGAGAAGTTGCGCTCGAGTGTATCAATAGAAAGCAAAAGAAAATGTTTCCACGAGCGTTTTACAAAAAAATTTCGTTATTGTAATGATCTGATTGTCGTATTTTGTTTAAATTCTCGTTGATTTAGCATAGTTCTTGCCTGTAATTCTATACAATAATTGTAGGGATCCGCACAAACACGAATTGTACGTATGCGTATTGTGTGTGTAAATGTGTTTCGAAGTTCTGTGAAATATCTCGAGATACATGTAGGGGTATCTGTAATCTGTTGTGTAAATACGAGATTTTTATGAATTACCATGTTTTTAAACGATTGATTTATTGGCATCAAGTATTAGAAAATATTTTAAAATAAACATTCGCGATGGATATTTCTGTTCGATCATAAAGAGTTGATTTATCGAAAACGAGTTTATTGTATGATTTCATCTGCATCAGATGTTCCCGGTTATACCTACACGTATCTTAGACCATCAATTTCGTTATCGAGTGGAAATTAAGACTAAAACATTTGCCAAGTATCGAACGATAAACGTAGGATCTTCTAAAGTGCAGAATTGAATATATGATAATGTACGAACAAGTCTTGCATGATCTATGTAACACTTCTGTGTTCCTTGTCGTTAGTGCCTCTCGATAGAGGAACTCATGGTATATTTTTTACGCGTTTTATCATGTACATTTACATTAAGTGTAATATTCTGATACATATATTTTGTAAGGAATCGAGCCCAGTATTTATTTTATGAAATTGCGCAGATCGGTGAAGATATAAAAAGTAAGGAGGTATCGGTGCTTTAAAAAAAGGGGTGTTGTCACAAAATTTTTACACGTAAGACTATATTATAATAAATTGTAAAATTACTGCGGGAACTTGAGCTGCTGTCGGAAACGAGAAAGTGTTAAACGCGTATTTTAACGAATTTCGCGATCAATTTTACTTGAAATTTTTCATACTCATATCTCTACTCGAACATACTTAGTAATAAATAATATGAAAAATATTTTGTATATAAGGATGTGCTCGCTTCGAAGTTTAAAGGTCGAATGTAAAACTCAACTCTACTTATCGCGATGATGTAACAACAATTTTTATATCATGTAATGGACGACAATGAAATTATATAAACGTGCGTGTATGTTGTGCTCCAAATGATGCCAGCGACATATCTTAATGGATCATTTTTGTTCGCATACGAATAAAATTACATCTCAGAATATTCAACTTGTTCTTTTATTTATTTAACACAGTTATTTTATATCCATAGTTTCGCGGTGAACGTATTTGAATTTAATATACCGCGTAAAATGATTTCGCAGTTCCCCGACAGATGGCGCCAGCATGGCGGCACGAATGTCAATACGTTTTGTGATACATTTCTAATCATTTCTAATCGATAAGGTTATTTATTTTTCCTTCTTGTAACGAATACGTATAAAGTATCTTGACATCAACGATGATAAACACAGGTATATAATTTAATACAATATTAGTTTTTGAAGTTCTATTTATACACACGTTTTATGGCGCGAAAATTTCAATTATGCCGCGCAAAATGGTTCCGTAGCTTCCGAACAGGTGGCGCAGACTGCCACTACAGCCGCACGAATGAATTATATTTGAACGTGCGGTTACGGTCGTGTGTTAGCTTCTGTATAATTAATTCTAACGTGTGTTTGTGTTAATTAATCATCTGTTATCAACGAATTTCATCCATTTTTTACCGTAAGTACATTTATATTGAAGTTTTAACAATTACGTATTGAGATCTGCAACTTTGATTTCATTTGACAGTGTTTACGAGTGCAAATGGTATAACGGCTCAAAATCTTAACCACAACAAGTTTACAGGTAAGTCAGAAAGAATTACTAAGAGAAGGATCCGAATTTTTAACGAACGTTAAGTGAATAACTACTAAGTTAATTTGCGAACTGAAACGTAACCATAATTATATCAGTGCGGAATGCTGTAAGATGCAATATTTTCAATTATCTCGTATCGGAACGGCGATTCATCAATTATTCTCCCCGTAACAAATATGCATAAAGTATCTTGTCAGCAACGATTACAAACATGCGGTATGTACGTGCTTCACCGTACGATGACTTAGCATAACCCTATACAAGGTTCGCCCCTGCGAAACAATGTTAACCACGAGTCACGGGGATTTGAAGCGCCCCTGTTTGGAAACCGAGTCAATAAATTAGGGGAGTTAATC